GTAGAGGGGCTTGCTTCCTGAAGCAAAACGCACTGAGACAGCTGCACACATGAGCTCTAGATGTCCCATCTATAGCATGTCCTTGGCGAGCACCCAAGCCTACTCGTTTGTGTCCTAGGGATGCCTAGAAAGAGAATGGCCTGACTCTCTGGTCCATCACAAAATGCTTACTACACGTCTCATCACTTGGAGAGGTATCTATTTACAACCTGCCTGTGCTCGGTGCAAGGCGAGCTTCCTCCCACCACATCCTGTGTGCAAACATGAGAGCGCATGTTGCACTAGCCTCACATTCTCGGGAGCACCTCGCCGGCCCCCAGAGAACGTGCTCACCGAGGCACTGCACTGCACTCCACCCCCTCCGTTCCCCTGTAGAGTCCATTTATCAGAACAGGGTCACCACTGCTCCAGCAGGGAATCAGCTCCAGCAGGGAATCAGCAATGAGATAGTGTCCCACTCATTTCTGCATGTCCTAGTCTACATGGAGCAGGCCAGTGGGTGGGAGTCTCCTAATCCCAGCTGAGCAGAGCTGGACAGGAGGGAACATTTTCTGGGCCAGTTCAGCTCCCACGGAGACTTTTCTTGCCCCATTCTGTGCAGGACTGACAAAAAACACAGGGCTCACATGGGGATGCCCATTGATCAGGTCTTGCATTTACCCACAGATTTCTCTAATGAGGACAGGACTCTAAATGCAAAATGAAGGAACGTAATTTGATAAAGGCCATTTGCCTACAATGATGGCTCGGAACAGATGAAACAAGATGAAAGTCCCCGAATTCCAGAGTTTGCTGAGCCATTAAATCCTGTAACAGAAGATAGGGAGGAAAACACCCCTCCCCTTGCAGCCAGCCTCCAACGGCAGCTGTCATTTGGCTTGGCATGCCATCAGAAGAAGACATGCTGCCTCCATCTATAAAATCTGCCTTCTTTTCTTTAAAATATGAGGAAGGTAGAAAGATTTCTGGGGTGGTGAAGCTCCAGCAAGAGAGGCCAGTTGATCCTCCTGGAGTGTCCACTTCCTGTCTGCCACTCGTACCCAGCTACTGGTGTGTCTCCAAAACAGGCACAAGAAACCCCTTTCTAACAACAACAACAAAGAAACCCCTTGCTGGTCTTAAAACCATTTTGCTTGAGCTTGAAATGAGAAAAAACATGGTTTGAGGGCAAAGCTCTTATTTATTAAGATTTTATTGTATTAGAGGGGATCCCTGGGTGGCTCAGCGGTTTAGCACCTGTCTTTGGCCCAGGGCGCAGTCCTGGAGTCCCGGGATCGATTTCTGCATCGGGCTCCCAGCATGGAGCCTGCTTCTCCCTCTGCCTGTGTCTCTGCTTCTCTCTCTATCATGAATAAATAGAATCTTAAAATATATATTTTTTATTGCATTAGAGAGTGCACACACGTGCACATGAGTGTGGGGGGAGCTAAGGGAGAGGAATAGCAAGCTGACTCCGCACCGAGTACAGAGGCCCATGCAGTCACAATCCCACCACCCTGTGATCACGACCTGAGCCAAAACCAAAATCAGATGCTCAGTCGACTAAGCCACCCAGGCATCTTTAGATTAACCCATTTTTTTGTATTATTGTGGTAAAATGCACACAAATTTACCATTAGTCACATTTAGTACAAGTCACAATGCTGTGCAATCACCACCACTGTCTAGTTCCAGAATATTCTCATCATCCCAGAAGGAAACCCCATACCCTTTAAGCAATCCCCCCACACCCCACTCCTCTGTTATTGTCTCTAAGGATTTGGGTATTTATAGTACATTTCATATAAGTGGGATTATGCCACATGTGGCTTTTCATATCTGGCTTCTTTCACTTAGCGTGTTCCCAAGGTCCACCCATGTTGTAGCCTGTGTCAGCACTTCCTTTTTATGGATGAATAATATTTCATTGAATTGATAGACCACTTTGTCCCTTCATCAGTTAATAGATATTTGGCTTATTTCTATTTCTTGTTTCTTTTTTTTAAATATTTTATTTATTTATTTATTCATGAGACACAGAGACAGAGAGAGGCAGAGACACAGGCAGAGGGAGAAGCAGGCTCCATGCAGGGAGCCCAATGTGAGACTCGATCCCAGAACTCTGGGATTACGCCCTGGGCTGAAGGCAGATGCTCAACCGCTGAGCCACCCAGGCGTCCCGACTAAGCCACCCAGGCGTCCCCTATCTCTTGTTTATTGTAAATAATGCTGCTGTAAACATTCTGGTACACGTGTGAACATCTGCTTTTAGGTATACCAGGAGTGGAAGGAATTGCTGGGTCATGTGGTATATAATTTTATGTGTGACTTACGGAGCAGCCACCAGACTCAATCCACATCACCCTTCTCTGTCACCTATCGGTGGCTGTGTGCGGACGGCACCAGCAGAGGTTGCTTAGCCCAGCTCTTGAGACCAGAAGACTGGTTCTCCTTCCAGCCCCACACTGTTCTGTTCTAAAGTCATCCCATGTAGCCCCTCACCCCCAACTTCTGCCCAAACCCCACAGCACCCCATAAAGATGGGCTGGGAATCAGGGAAGGAGCAGGAGCACAGGCAAGGACTGTCACTTAAGTTGACAGTACAGAATATTCCTTTGCTATTCCTTGCTAAGGGGCAAGTCTCCCTTGTAGAACCCTCCCATTTTACAGGCTGTCTGGCCACTTTCCCTTTGGAATGAACTTCATGGGTTGGGTGTGCTTCAGTCCTACAAGGATCCCAACCAACTGTGCCCAGCATTTACACATATTTGAAGCTGGCAGAGCTGTGTTGAAAGGAGGGAACAGTTGCAGAGCAGATGACATGAGGCTGCACACCACGCTCGCGCCGCCAGCCCAGAGCAGCCCAGCTAAAAGTGTGTGTGTTGTCCATCAGCACCCAGGGGGCATCCCCACATGCATGCCGCAGTGCATGAGCCAGCCCTCCAGGGACTTAGATTCTAGAAGCAGAGACTGTACCTGTGCTGAGGCTGCCTAGAAAGGCTAGCAGAGATGCGTCCAGAATATTCTCATCATCCCCTGCAAAATGAAGGAATGTGATTTGATAAAAGCCATTTGTCTGCAATGATGGCCAGCCCAGTGTGGGGAGGAGCAAACTGGAGCACTGGTTCTCTGTGGCTTTTCTATCCTGCAACCCCCACCCCGGCAGCTCCATGTTCAAGGTGAAGTTGGGCCACTGTTACCTCGTTATCTGTTCTAGCCCCTCATTCCTCTTTGGTTTCCCACCAGCCTCAACCCTGCACCAAGAGTGTTGAGCAGATGCTAGAGACGCCCAGAGCACGAAAGAAGGAGGCAAAGTGCAGTCAGGGGCCCTCTCTGCGGACACTGAACTCAGGGCTAAGGAGGGTCTGGAGTCAGAAGGACCCGACTGAAAGTAGTGTGTCTCAAAGGGTACAAATGCAAGAAGGTGGGGGTAGCTGGGGAGTCCCGTCCCCACCCCTGTGTTTAGAATATGGCCCCTTTAGAGCCTTTTCCCGAGGACTTTGAGGCCCCCAGTTGACTCTAGAACCCACTGTGTGCACAATGGGGTACCATGGAGAGGGGCCGCAGATACGGACTGGGAGGCTGGGCCTGTCCCCAGCAGGGCACTGAGGGAAGGACACATGCCCACCAGGAGGCCAGGACAAAAGGGAGGCCTCTGCCAGGCTCAGAATGGGGGCATCTCCAGGGGATATGATTCCAGCTCAGGGGGGCCCGGAGGTGGTGCCAGGGTGACAAGGAGGAGAAAGAGGTGACAAACTCAGGAAGGTGCAGGTACCGAGTCCCGGAAGCATCACCAGGTACAGGCAGGGCCACGGTGCAGAGGCTTTGCTGGCCCTGGGCCGGCAGGACGGTGGAGACCATGGTCGCAGGTCCCCACACCGAGACCCTGCACAGCAGCCCTGGCTCCCCCGGGAACAGAGCCTGCCTGAGTCATTGCCTTTGGTGGACTCTATTTTTATGTCTAAGTCTGGTTAAAAATAGCTGTCTAAGCCAAGGTTTTAGCTGCAGCTGACAAGACATTAAGTATTAGGTACCTGATGCCCACAAGTGATAACCACGGGTCTCTTCCCGCTCCAGGATCCGTCTCCGGTACATACCCAGGGAGAAGGCAGGCTGGAGAGGGGCGCGGGGATGCCCCCTGACAGCATGGAGCCTGGGAGAGCCCACGCTGGGCCTCATGTCCATCCAAGGGGCCGCAACTCCTGTCAGGCCAGCGTGTGCCCCGAAGGCACCTCGCACACACCTGGGCGCAGCAGGGTCAAGTGCACCACCGGACTGGCCACCAGTGACACCGCAGGCCCTCTTCCTTGCACCTCTGGCTCCGAGAAAGCCGAGGGGCACAAGCCAGAGTGTGGCACAGGGGTGTGCTAGCGTGTGTGAGCGCACAGGAGGTGCCTGCCACTTTGCACACATTTCTCTGCTCAGCAAGCAGGTGGCATCTGGAACATGTGCGGTGTGGCGGCCCTCGGCAGGTGCTCCCACACTGGTTGGTGACAGGGAGCCACCACCACGCTGGCCTTGAGCATCCCTGGAGTCGGAGAGGGCCTGCCCGCGGTGCTGGGAAAGCGGGGATCAGCCCCAGTTCCCACGGCTGGGCCCTTTGGCCGGCAGGACACCCAGAAGACCTTTCACCCAGGAGAGCCCACGGGCAAATCTCCAATCACCCCTAGACGTGCCTTCCCAGGCTCCCTGTTGCTCCACGGACTGCTCGGTAGCCCTGAATCAGAAGCCTGTGCCCCTCCTGACCACAAGCCCCCTGCTGCCTCTAACGCCCAGGTGACTGGGGACCCGGCCTCAGGCCAGAGCGCAGCAGGCCTGGTGCAGGCCCAGCGACCCAGCGTCAGCCCCAATCCCTGTGGATCGAGGCTGCAGCCAGCGCCCTCTCCGGGGTCACCGCCTGGGCCACCGCAAGGCCCGGAGGAGCTCAGCACACGGCGGGCCCCAAGCGCTGCCAGGGCAGTTCACCCCACTCTGGCTGCCTGCTAACCGCCTGTCTGGTCTTTCTCTTTTTGGTTTTCCAGTGAGAAGCGCCACCTCCAAGTCAACGTCACCAACCCCGTGCAGTGCAGCCTGCATGGGAAGAAGTGCACGGTCTCCGTGGAGACGCGGCTCAACCAGCCGGAGCCCGACTTCACCAAGAACCGCTCAGGCTTCATCCTCAGCGTGCCTGGGAACTGACGGCCCGAGGGGAGGCCTCGCCAGCGCTCGGGGCCACCCCACATCCAGGGCCCGGTCTAAATTGCCGACTCCCCGCTACTGCCCGCTAGAAATCAGCTCGCCAGGGTCCGTGCTTGGGGCCGAGCCCCCCTTCTGCCTCCTCCAAGGCTCCTCCCCTGAGGTTGTCCTGCTGGCTTTCTGCCTCTGGTCTCCGTCCTTCCCCCCCCCCCCCAATTTTCCAGTCCTCACTCAACAAACCAAAGATCCCGATGCCCTGCCACAGACCCTGAGCTCACGCCCAGACCATAGCTCATCACAGAGGGGACGTGATGGTGCCTCCAGTCAGTGAAGGCCCCTGCCGCCACCGCCCCCCCTCCCCAAGCCGCACCATTTGCCAGGTCAGGTCAGTGAGCCTTGACCCAGGGACCAGCAACTGACCCTGCAAGGGGTGGATGCAGTTTCCCCAACCAAAAACATGCTCCCCTGGGGGGTGGGGAGGAGATTGGCAGAGATGAGCTGGGGATGTAGCCCTGCTCTCTCTGCGAGGGCAGCCTGCCACCCCTTCCCTGAAGGTGACCTGGCTCAGAGCTCCTCAGTGGAGCCCCTCACCCCCAGCAGTTAACCAAGGCCATCAGGTGAGCAGGGTCACTAGCAGGGCTGGCCCCTCAGCCCAGAAGCCGGCAGAGCATCACACCAGGCCTGCAGGCCTCCTCTCTGGGAGAAAGCAGAGCACGTGTTCCAAGGGCCATCTTCCTTACTACACAGCCTGGGCCTGCGGGTGTAGCACACTCGTGTGCACAGTCGCAGAGCTGCTCAGTGGTTACTGTGTCTCCTGTGCCCACACTCATGCCCAAGCGCCGATAAGAAACCAGAGTGGTAGGGCCAGGGAGTATTCGGGGGTCTGGAAGTTTCCCTTCTGACACCTCTGTTTCATACACACTTGGAGAATGGGGACCAGGGCCAGAGGGGCAGAGTGACAGACACAGAGTGGGGGTCCCGGCACTGCAGGCCAGGCCAGGATGCCCACCTGCCCCCACGTATACACACACACACACACCCCTCGCCGCTGCAGCTGGGGCCCAATGCAGGCCTCGTGCCAGGAGAGTGCCACCGCCCTGCCAGTCTGTGCCCAACAGAAAGCATGGAGCCTCAGATGTCATCCTGAGATCGCTGTGCTCCTGAGCCTCAGCTGAGGACGCTGCCCCAAGCCCCTGAGCAGCCCAGGCCTCCCAGCCAGGAGCCATAATGGGAGAGACTTGGGATACCCCATGTGGGGAGGGGGCTAAGGTTGAGCCCACGACTCAGGGGGAGACTGGCAGGATGCAAAAGAGGGACGTGCTCTCCCCCCGCCACCCCACCCACTCTTGACCTGCCACCCTGACTCTGCAAAACACACCAAGTGCCTGAGCACAGCTCCTCTGTGCCTGGTCCAGTGCCTGACACGGCCAGCTGGCTGACACCCGTGCAGTCCCAACAGCAGGGTCTCATCCGCACCCCAACTTCCCAGGGCCCAGGAAACATTTGCACCATGTGCAATTTGCAACAAAGAATCCTCTCTCGACATCCTGTCCTTAGAAACCCTGCCTCATTCTCCAAGCCTGGTCGGCTGCCTGCACAGCCCAGAGGCGCCGTTGGCCTGGTCTAGCAACAGAATTTTGCCAATCACCTTGACACTAGTTGAACCGTCCTAACTGGAACGGCGCCTCCTTTCCACTCATTTCCCCAAACTTGTCGCTTTACACTAGAGACATGTACATGTATGTTTTAGATGCTCCAAAATGGAACATGCCAAATGAGTGCCTTTGCCTTTCCGAGGCTGGGGAGGCGGTGGGCCTTGGAGTCCTCCCTCTAGCCGTCCGGGGTTGCCTGTGGCTCCTCAGGCCAGCAGAGGGGCTTCCAGCCGAGGGCCAGTCCACAAGCACTTTTTCATGATGTCCTCAAAGAAGTCCCATTACGTGGCACCTGAAGGAGTAAGAATTGAAGGTGTGATCTCAGTGGTGCTTCCAGGGGGCCGGGGGTGAGCAGGAGGACGCAGTGATTGTAGGCAACGAAGTGTTTCTCTTGATCTAATTAAATGCAGTGGTATGGTTTGCTGCGTTTATTCCTATTTTCCATTAAATTAACTTTATTTCTAGAGCATATTTTGATTTACCATCAAGAGCAATAAAGCATTAAATCTCATTTTTAAAGGTATCCTGCTCATCTGTAATTGAGAACTATACACAAAGTCAGCTGTTGTCTCAGATGGGAGGGAGCATGAAGCGCAAATCAGGTAAAATGGAGGATAATTTACTGGGGGCTTTTGAACAGGAATATGAAACAGCCGGTGAGGCACAAGCAGTAGGGAGGCCGGGAGGCGGCGTTAAATCAAGCACTTTGTTCCATCATTTTGAGGTCTGTCCGCTAGATTCGTGAAGTTCACTGCGTTCCGGTGGCCTGAAGTCACCGATGCCTACAGAGGCCGGGTGGCCTTGCCCCAGGCTGGCTGGCTGGGGACAAGGGGGTGGCAAGAGAAGGAGCCAGAGGAATCTGGACCTCTCGGGGAGGGGTGGAGCTGCAGGTAAGCAAGGCCCCGCCGAGACGAAAGAGCCTCCCAGCACTCAAGGGCCACCGGGTCACCGTCATTGGTGGCAAAGGATGTGCAGTGCACCTACTCTGACCCAGACCAAAGGACATGCCCTGAGAGCGAGTGGCCCTGATCACAAAGCTGACCGCTCCTAAGGGCCAACTGGGTGGAGAGGCCTTCTTAGCGATCACGGTGCGGGGCCAGGAGGCTCAAGGCCACACTACCCAAGACCCAGGAGCTTAGGCTGGTGGCAGGAGCAGGCACAGACCACGGGCAGCGCAGCCAGTGGGGGGACCCCACCCTTGCCACACTATGGGCTGGGGTGGCTGCTTATTCGGGAGCCCCGGGGCTGGATTTCCCGCTCTTGGAAACCCGCACAGAGCTAAGCTGTCAGGGCTGAGCCACATGAACACCCTTCCACACCCGCTGGCCAGAGAGGAAGCGTCTGGGCGCTGGGCAGGAGAGCCAGGCGTAGGTTACACGGGGGCAGCGGCCTCAGAGCCAAGCTCCACTGTGGGGCCTGAGACCTGGCGCCCCTGCAGGAGCCACTGCGCCAGGCTTCACGGGGCCGTGCCCCGGCCTGCTTGTCCCCCTGGCTACAGGTCCCAGTCACCCAGCCCTGCCCAGCCAGGCCAGGCCCAGCCAACGGAGCCTCTGCGGAGCAACTCCCACCCCCGCCCAGCTAAGCCCAAGTTGACTTAACCTGCTGACCTAACCTGCAGCTTCTCTCTTAATCACCTTAACGTGAACGCACCGGTTAAGCCCTCTCCCAGAGCCCAGCCCTCCCCTCCGCCCCCACCGCCCCTCCCCTCCCCCACGATACAAATCCAATTATGTTCCCAGCACAGGAATCATTTGTAAAAGGGGCCCCCAGCCTGCTCATGAATGACGTGCCCACAAAAAGAGGCCTATGTAATGGATGGTCAGTGCATTTTATTTAATCAGCACAGTACAAAAATAAATAAAAATAAGGGAAAGGGAATTAAATTACAGCCAAACTGAGCTTCATGACCTTGTCAGATTATAAACCACACATACTTACAAACACACTACACATACATACAAAATGAGACAAATATAAATTAATATTAACAATACCCACGGTTTGGTCAAAGGATAACTACAGAACGAATTGCACTAAGAACCAACATACACCGCACGTGTAATTAGCAGTTTCAAATATACAGCCTATGAATAATTCCGAGTGGGAAAAATGGCACGTTTTCTTTTCATTGCAAGTTTAACAACTGTTGGAACAGAACTAAATTCTAATAAATAACTGCATGGAAAGAATAGATCAACCCTTCAGGTTTACAAGAAAAAGAGAAAAACCAAATCCTGAACTATTCCTGTGACTTGTTCTGTGCACGGGTGTAATGTTCACAGCCATCTGTTCTAAGATTATTTTTCTTAAGACACAAAATGCTCCTGGTTCGCATGCACAATATCACTGTAAACGCAACAATTAAAGAATAAAGGGGTTGGGTTTTTTTCCCCCCGTAGGTTAGTTTTTCTTTTTTTTTTTTTCCTTTTTTCTTTTAATCATTGTTCTAAAAGTAGTCTTCATAGCAGCATGTCAGATGGGCTCAGGGCCCGCACGCTGGAGTCCATCAGCTCCCGCACCCGGTACTGACCAGCACAAGGGCAGGGAGGAGGCCACGGCGGGCTTCTCACCGGGGGAGCCAGAGACTGACCTCCTCAGCCCCGAGCCGCTCCTGAAATGGGCCCCTCCCCCAAGAAATAAAAAAATAAAATACGGAGAAAGAGCAGGAAAACACACAACCGGAATACTGGGGATGCGGCCTGAGCGTGGGGTTTCAGGCCAAGCTCAGCCGCTGGGTGAGTGACTACAGACACGCACCCCTCCTCTTGAGACTTTGCGCCCCAACCTCCCTCCCCACTTCTGGGCCCCGCTGCCCCCCCAAGGGCCTCCTACCTCAGGTCACACGTGGCAGCGGGATCTGAACAGACGGGCTGGGTGACAGCTCCCACCGAGATAGAGGCGTGGCGGCCAAGTCTGTGGCAGCAGCCGAGGTTCCTTCCAGCTCCGCCTCAGCTTATTTGGCAGCCCAGAGAGGGCTCGGCGCAGCTGGGCCGAGGGATCCCATCCCAGCCCCGAGCGGGCCCTCCTCCCCTTCCCCGGGAAGCGGGAAGCGGCAGCTCCGCTCCAGGCCTCTTAAAGTGAGACCCCGGTTTCACAGCTTTCTCTCGTGTGAATTTCAGTAGTGCTTCTGCTGAAACCAGCAGCCACCTAGAATCTATCCTGTGTCAGAGGACCCTCTGCCTGCCCCCCGCCACCCCCCCTCCCTGGGACTGGAAGGGAGACTTCCCCCAGGGCATCTTCACATTGACCTTTATTCCCCAAAGCTGGAGTGATGGGCCACAGAGGAAGACTCGCTCCCTTCTCCTGGTCCTCTCCCAAGTCCCAAGCCACCAATCTGGGAGAATCAAAAAGGAAATTGATTAAGTACATGTCGTGTGTTTTTCACAGCCACTAAGGTAAGGTGGAAACCCAGATGGGCAGCTGCAAATGATCAGGTGCAGAATGGCAGGCTTCCGAAGCCATGAGGAGTGCTACTCCGGCCTTGGAATTGTCTCCAAGATCCAGTGGTCTCACTGGGCCTCGCAGGGCAAGGCTTCGTCTTCAGAAGAAACTGAACTGTTTGGAAACAGCTTTAAATGAACAGGGGTGGGGACAGGGGGGCGGGGGGTACATCATTACCCCATCATTCTGGTCCCCGACATCACCTCGGCTCTGCAGGAACAAATGTCATGCACCAGCAAGACGCCTTAGCCCTCAGGTGAGCACTGGCTGGTTTCAGGCACAACGACTGCACCTGCCCAGAAGGCAGGCTGTCGGTGAGGGGCACCAGCAGCCGCCCTGGCCTTCACCACAGGGTGAGTAAGCTGCATTAGTCAAAGATTCGCCCAGGAAAGGAGCTGTCCCTAGCTTCACCCCACCCCTTTAGCTGGGACCCCAAATCAAAGAACTTAATGAGTCAAACCAGCTCATTAACCGACACTACCAACACGGCTGGGAGCAGGGGGTAAGGAGGTCAGGGGGCAAGTTCCATGTCTTCACTAAAGGAAAACTCTTCTCCCTAATAAAAGAAAAAAGAGCAAACCAGAGTGGTGCATGGTCAAACGACAGGACACAATCTTTGTACCAGGCCAGCTTCTCCTCGACGAGTTGTCCCAGGGTGGTGGGCACCTCGCCTCACAACCCCATTCGTGGCTCGGTCAGGGTGGCCAGCTCCACAGGCCTCTGGGAGAACGGATGACCCAAAACAAAATCCAAGAAAGGCCCTCCAACCGGCAACAGCAATGGCTCCCCAGGGCCAACTAACTGGCCAGAGGCCCCTCTCTGGCTCCCATGCCAGGAGCAGCGGGCAGCCTCACCTGCCCTGGTCCAGCAAGGGCACAGGTGGCAGAGACAGGTCAGTCCTACAAATTCCCCAAAGTTGAGAAGTCAGTGGCCTGGGTGGCTCTGAACACATCTTCTGGGTTTTTGCACAAGGTTCAGGAGTTCAAAAGCGCCCAGAGTTCTTGGCAGGGCTGAAGAAAACCCCAAGGAGAGAAGGTGGGAAGAAAGAGGCCCTCGGTGGCTCTGCTAGACACATACTGTACACAAAATCTGATTTGCTTAATAATAAATTTTTAAAAATGAATTGAATCCTTGAGCCATGATGCGGGCTACAGGGCTCACCGATCGAGCCCCAGGAGGAGCCGCTTCTTGTCCTCCTGACCACTCTCGTTCTTCAGGTCGGAGAACACCTGTGTGAAGTAGTGCGGGTCGGCATTGATCTGCAGCATCTTGGAGCTCATGAGGTTGATGACGGAGAGGCAGCGGTCCCAAAAGGCCTCCTTGCAGCTCTCCACCAGGAAGGGCTTGAGCGGGTAGGAGATCTCGTTGCCCATGTAGGAGTAGGAGAGGTACAGGCAGGTCAGCAGGATGGCCTGGAGCTCGTGGTCCGAGCCCACCTCGGAGGAGATGACATCCCTGCAGAGCATGTAGAGGAAGACCACGTTGGCCGGCGTGATGAAGCCCTGGTCCTGCCAGCCCTGCAGAAGCAGCGAGCGGTCCACGCTGCGCAGCCAGAGCACAGGGTCCGTGGGGGACAGGTGCTTCAGGCGGTAGCACCGGCGGCAGAGAAACTCGCCCAGGCAGCGCAGCAGCTCGCTGGTGGACGCCTGGACGATGACACGTTTGGGCGTCCCCGCGGAGGTGAGGGCCGCGTGCGGGGCCTTCTTGACAGAAGAGGAGACCCCGGTCTGGGAGCCCGAGAGCTGGCTGGCGGGGGGCGCGGGCGGCTGGGCCGGCGGGGGCTGGGCGAACGTGGACAGGTTGGCGCACGACAGCGACTTCTTCAGGTTCTCATTGTTGAGGTGCGTGATGTTGTTCTGGTAGCTGCTGTTGGGCTGCACCTTCTTGGAGTTCTTCTTCTTGGCCGACACGGCCACGATCCTCTTCCACGGCAGCACGGAGATGATGGAGTGCCGCTTCAGGTTCTTGTCCTTGGCGTTCTTGCTGTTCTGCACGGCCGTGTAGTGGCCCACCGTGGCCGCGCCATCCTCAAACAGCGTGGCCTTGCGGTAGCTGGGGGACAGGGACAGCACCGTGCCCATGGTGCCGCTGCGCGCCGGGCGGGGGCCCGCGCCCCTGCGCGCCCAGCCTGCCGGCCGGAGGCGATCGGCTCAGCGGGCCCGCGGCGTCCGGGCGGGAGGCGGGGGCGCTCCGGGGGCGCCTGCTGCCCCCTCGGATCTGCGTGGAAAACAAGATGGTTCTCAGCACCAGGCGGGGCTCGGCGCCGCGCTCCGCCACCCGGGCCGAGGCGGCCCCCGCGGCCCTGGCCCCGGCCTCGCGCCCCCGCGCCGCAGCCCGGCCGCCTCCACTGCGGCACCCCCGCCCGCCTCCGCGGCCGCTGCGTCCCGACCGCAGCGGGAGGGGCCCGGCGCCCGCGGAGGTGGAGGCGGCGGCGGCGGCGGCCGGGGACCCCCGCCTCGACACACCGCGCGCGCGGCCCCGGCCCCGGCCCCCGGCTCCGGCTCCTCGGGGGGCAGCGGGCGGCCGCGAGGCGCAGGCTTACCGGGCAGGCGGCGGCTCCGGCGCTCCGCGCCCTCCCTCCGCAATGCGCGCCGCGGCTCGGGCCCGCGGTCCCGGCGCTCGGCGGGGCTCGGCGGGGCTCGCGCTCGGCGGCGGCGGCGGCGGCGGCGGCGGCGGCGGCTCCGGAGCTTCTGTCCAAGGTTCTGCAGGCGCTGCGGCCCCGCCCCCCGCCGGCCGCCCGCCGCCTGCGCCGCCGCCGCGCTCCCGCGCCCGCGCCCGCTCCCGCTCCCGCGCCCGCTCCCGCTCCCGCCCGGGCGCGCACCTCGGCGGCCTCGCTGTCGGGGGCGCGCGCGCGGCCCACGCACGGCCGGGGCTGGCCTGCTCCAGCGGCGGGGCCGGGGCCGGAGGCCGGGGCCGCCGCGGTCCTCAGCGCCAGCCGTGCGCGGTGCGGGCAGGGACGCGGCCAGGGCCCGAGCGCCTCTAGTCGCCGCGCCCCATCTAGGACCCGGACCCGGACCCGGACGCCGGCGGCGGGTACTCCCGGCCCCGGCCCCGCCCCTCCCGCCCCGCTCTGCGCCGCCGCGCCAGCAGCAGCCCGGCCGCGTGAGTCCCCGGCGCGCCGCGCAGCCGAGCTCCGGCGGGGCCGGGGAAGGGGGGGCGCCGGGGGCGGGACCGAGGCCCGAACCCGCCCGCCGCCCCGCCCAGACACGTGCTGCCTTTGTTCCCGCCGCGGCGCCCGCAGCCGCTGGCCGCGGGGGCGCTCTCGGCCGCGTCCCCGCCCAGGCGACGCGCGGCCGCCGGCTGGGCTGGGGCTGGGGCTGGGGCTGGGGCTGGGCTGGGGCTGGGGCTGCAGCTGCGGCGAGAGAAGCCATCCATCTCGGGCTGGGTTTCCCGAGACCCCTTTTCCCATTAACACCCTCGTCCCCCGGGGAAGGAGCTATGGAGGTCGAGGGGGAAGGCCCCGAGCCGGGGGCGCGGAGGCGAAGCCTTGCTGAAGTCACTCGCATCCCGCTGGACTGTCCCATCGGCTTTCACGCCCACCCCGGCCGGCCGGGGCCTCGGTCCCCGCACCCCGGGGAAATGGCCGGAGCCTGGGTCAAGAGGAGTCGTCGGCAGTTCTGGGCGGGCCCACAAGCAGACTGGCTCTCCTGCCCCCGCCAGGGCCAGCGCCAAGGCCGGCGCCAGGGCCAGCGCCAGGGCCAGCGCCAGGGCCAGCGCCAGGGCCAGCGCCAGGGCCGTGAGCCCCCAGAGATGAGCCAGCCCTTCACAACTGTGACCTGCACATTTCCCCTGGCCCTCTTATCGGTTACAGTAAAACTGAAGCAATCGCTTTTCCAACCATCCTCTGATCTTATGATTTAAGTGTTTTTCATGCTAACCACGTATCATTTGAAGACCTGATGCTGGCCAAATTGTAAAATTGACTTCTAGTAAGAACTGCCCTCAAGGACAAGAATTCATATCCTTCACAAGAGCTATTCTTCACTTGTTTCTTTTAGTTTGGTCGGGAAATTGATCTAGAGTTGCCCACAAACCAGAGAAACAGAAGATTCAAACAGTATCTTAATCCGGATTATCACCTCTGGACCAAAAGATAAGGAAGTGGTAATCCAGATTAACTACCCAATTCCCGGACTCCAGGCCACACCAGCCCATGAGGCTGTCAACCTGCGGCAGCTCTGACAGTTCTGCCTGCTGCCCCACGCAGAACAATGCTGCTATCAGGTCAGAAAGTGCCAGAATTTGTATATGTACTACCCAGCGATTTCTCTGTCAATAGGAGCAATTGAAAGGTTTGGGGATTTTGGTAACCATATAATGGGGGAAAAAATGCATTGTTCTGCACCGAGGGCTACTTCTGAAACATCCACAGCAGCTGTCATCTTAACTTAGATAAAAGCTGGCCCTTAGCTCACTGTGCCCCTCCCTCTGGATACAACCTCTGCTTGCTCTTGACATGCCGCAGTCCTCAACCCTCCTTCCTATAATAAGCTTGAAGAAGTCATCTCCGAGGTCCCCTGGCCCAATGGCTGTCTTCCTCTCCAAGGCAAAGCCTTTTCCGCACCAGCCCCTGGTGGAGAGGCCCAGCTCCCAAGCAAGCCTTTGTCCGTAGTCTCTCCAGGTCCCCTGCAGATTATTGTGTTGAGCAAAGACTAAATGCTTTCCATTTCCAAAATATGCCTAAATTTCAAAGTCTGTAATCCTCCCCTTAAAACTATCTGGATCCACCCCGTTCCCTGTACCTTCAAATTTCAGTTCTAACTATTCCAATTCATGGCAGACAGTACCAAGGCCCACTTCACCCCACTTCATTTCCTAAACCAAAGAAGCAGGCACTTGCCTGGGCCTCTTCGGGTCTGACCACACTCCGGGAGCCTCTCTTGCCTTTGTCCAGCCAGCTTTCCCTAGCACCTTCGAAGAGCTCTTTGCATTACTGCCTGCACTGCCTCACACTTCAAAGGCAAAGCCACATTTGCAGCACAGCATGAAATGTGCACTGCCAGCACACTTGCTATTGTGACTAAGGAAAGAGGTTGTCTGGAAGTCCTGTTCACCCCTCTGCCCTGCCATGCCCACGGTCTCAGGGCACCCACCGCCACCATCACCACCACCACCACCCTCAAGCTCCCATCACAGCTCCAATTGCAAGGCAAGGAAAAAAGGGTAATTACTGTGCCAGAAATGGCAGAATCAAGGCCCAGACTGCAGACCCAGCTGAGCGAATTAGAGCTGTATTCTTCCCATTCTTCATAGAACTACAGGAAAGAGCTCCAAACCCCACCATCAAACCAGGCTTTTATCCTATAGCCTACCTCTCACTGCCAGAAGGGCCAGCCTGCTGGTTATGTGCGCTCTTGGGCTGGTGTTCCCATGTGTCACCAGAGAATCCCTGACCCCTGCATGGCCCCATTCCCATACCACCCCAAGAAAGAGAGGGCAAGGCCCCAGCCAGCTACCCTCCAGAAAGGGCTCCAAATAAAGCTAGGCTAAGCCCTGGCTTCTGAGGCAGCCGTGCTTTGTTCCTTCAGGGATCACAGAGCAGCATCTAGTGGCCCTTTTGGGCAGCACAGATTATATAACTAGCACGCAGCAGTGCTCCAGAGCCAAGCACCTCAGCCTCTCCTCCCAACACCAGGGCTGTCTCATTAGCACACCAGAAAGTCTTAGCACCCTTAAGACTGGTGCCAGGAGGGTCCCTAGGTGAAGAAGTGGGGCCCAGGCCAGCCTATGGGCCACCCGACCCTCTCAACTGTGCCCAGATCCAGAGTACTTGAGGCCAGGGAGGAAAAGCAGCCCTGGAGGTCTAGAGCAGCACTGTCCAAAAAAATATGTGAGCCACAAATGCAAGCCACATAGGTAATTGAATATTTTCAAGTAGCCACATTAAAAAAATTAAAAGAAACAGATGGATTTTAATAATATATTTTATTTAACCTATTATGCTCAAAATATTTCAACATATATATTTAAAAAGTTGAGCTATTTTACATTTTTTCATACTGTCTTCAAAATCTGGTTTGTATTTACATTTGCAATGCATCACACTTCCAACTAGCCACATATCAAAGACTCAAGAGGCCTGTGTGGCTAGTGGCTACACCATGGACAGCACAGGTCTAGAGGAGGTCATGAGACCCACAAAGGGAGCCACAGGCTGCTGCCACCTCAGCATCTTGGGGCTGCCCTAGTAGGTTTGGGAAACCCTCCTTCCTCTCCAGCTCCAGGGCTGGATCCCTTTGGAATAGTTCTTAACAGTCCTTTAGGCAAGCAAGTCTTCCTCAAGTGAAACTACACAGAGACTATACAAAACTGAAACAGTAACAAGTAGTTCTGACTCAAGTGGAGCTGGCACTGAGAGCCCACCCCCCTTCCCAGTGGCCGCAGAGCCCCTCAGAAGAATGCAGCCAGGGTCCAAGGGGTAGTATGAAAATTCACTGCTTTTGAAGATTTCAACTAAAAACCAAACCACAACTGCAGGCATCTCCAGGCACTTGCATGACTTTAACCTTCACATCACAATTACCTACCAGCAGAGGATCTTCCAGCCCGAACCCATGCCCTCACTGGACCATGTTGCCTTGGAAAAACAGGAGGATGCCTGCATACCACATCCCATTTCAGACCTGACCAATCAAATTTCTTCCTCAAAGCCCTCCACTTTATCCCAGATCAAAAGGTCTCCCATGAAGCAAACATGGTACCAGAGCTTTGGCCAGTCTAGAAGGCTACTGAGCTGTGTGGACTTGTTCAGAAGCCCTCCAGCACTCAAGAAAGGACACTTTTTGAAAAAAAAAAATTGTTTTTATTGGAACTCATCTGAACATCAGATATACCTGGTGTTGGTTAGCAAGAACCGTTTGTACATTTGATATTGATGGTGCCAAAACCAAAACAGTGACTGGACATGATGGGAAGAGATGTTGAGAACAAAAACCTGATTCTGGAGAGGAAAGTAAAAGCCAGTCAGATTCAGTGAGGATGCAAAACCTGGTACAACAAAATCTTTTTACAAAATATAAATTTATTACGAAAACCTGGAAGGATAATCTGAGAAAGGAAAAGAAAGAGAAAAGGAAGCCAGCAGGAAGGAGGCATGAGGGGAGGAGGAAAAGAGAAGACAAAAAAAATGAGGAGGAAGAAATATCGCTGGGCACGGCAGAGGTGCAGAAGCTCACCTGCCCAAATGGCACGAAAGCCTCACTACGTGATCTCATCATAACACAAAGCATGCTGAAATACAACGCTCTACCTCCCAGCCGTTCAGTTTCTAAGAGGTAAATAAAGCTCCCTGGGAGGGGGATATGAGGTTGCTCAAAAACCCAACAACAAAGGTTTAAAAAACAAAAACGAAAGAAAAAAAAAAAAAAACCCACACCCCACAGTCTCATTTTCAATGTTCACTTGGTTAAAAAAAGACTAAATCCATCTGACAGCAGGAGGAGGAGTGGGACAGGGAGAGAAGCTGATGGATTTCAGACAGCCTGACTCCCCTGGAAGGGAAGGAGGGAGGAAAAGAGACATGTGATGGTCTCCTGGTGGAGAGGGGAAAGAGAAGGGACAGAGAAAAGAGCAGAGAGGGCAATTAAAACACTGACGTCTAATCTAGTTTACTGTGTTAAAAAGAGCCACATGCACAGCAGGCCCCCTGAGGGCCCACACTGCTCCCGTGTGGCCCTTGTGGACACTAGCTCCTGGCCTCGTCCCCATTCCTCCACAGGTCAGCTCGGAGCTGTGCAGGTGCTGCTGCGGTGGTGGCGGCGGCGGCGGCGGGCCCTCGGGCCAGTCTGCTGGAGCCATTGTTGGGGGGGGAAGGGCAGGTGACAGGCCATGTGGCAGGGGAAAGAACACCAAAACGCCTCATTTCAAATAAAAAAGAAAATAGCAGTCTATACACAGTTGTTTGTTTTGGTTCAGTACAAACAATAAAAAGTCGTTGCTTTGATGGTCAGGCAAACACCCAATTCTGAAGAGGAGGAGAGGTGACGCCCAGCAGGTGGATTAGGAGCCCCAGTGGTTGACGAGGCTCCTGGCTTTGCGGCCCTCTCCCAGGAGGCAGAGAGCACAGCTTTAGGTAGTGTAAGCCTTTTTCCTTTTATTCAGAATAACCTTTTTTTTTTCTTTTTCTTTTTTTTTAAGCAATTTCCCCACTCCCAAGTTGGGCCAGTAAAGATTACATGAAAACTGGCACACCTATTGGCTGGAATACAGATGCACCAAATGAGGATTTAAAAACTTTCCGAGCGAAAAGTAGAACAAAAAGAAAAAAGAATCTCCTAGCATTTTCCCCAAAGGTTTCACTCTCCCGCCACACACACTCTCCAAAGGACCGCTACAGATCCAACTCTGCAAGAGAAGACAGAGCAGTGTCAATCGGGGAAGCTGCGAGGCCACCCAGAGGCTTTCAGTCTCAACAGGCAGAAGACGGCGCTGCCCGGGCTGGGTCCCAGAGCCGGCACTCACCTATGTCAGTTTCTTGGCTTTGTTGTAGAGGGAATCCACTACTTTACTCATGTTCTGAATGGTTTCCAGAGCAGCTTCATAAGTTTTATCTACTGGGGGTTCATCGAAAATAATCAAGACACCCTCCCCCTGGTCCAAGATCCCTGTAGGAAACAAAAGGGCAACCTAGGTAAATGAAGGGATGAGATACAAAGGCACCTGAGAAGCAGCCCGCTCCCTAGCTGCCTCCCTTTCTCCAGGAAGGAGAATCAGAAATCATCTCCGTGTTCCATTTGTGCATATTTATTATGCATACTCTCATCACAGGGATAAGTATGGTGAGGATCCCAGGGAGCTACCAGGTGAAATAAATGGAACATCTTTCAAGATAAACAAGAGCATGATGCCTCAACTGCTTCACCACTGTTACTCACCATGAAATTTCTTGTCAAGAATCATCTGTGATAATTTCCTTTCCACGTCGGCCTAAAATCAAAGCATATGATTAAAGGGATCGGTATCCACTAGTCAGAGATCACACTGACACAAGTTTTGTACAAAAGGGCAAACAGATTGTCAATAAAACAGCAACAGTGAAACTCGAGCTCTGAGCTCACAGTCCCCACGCCACACCATGAAGTTTGAGGACTTTCCAACAAGGCCCATTGAGTACAAATGCTAACCACTTCCCCATGCCCCTTTCCCTGTCCCTGCCCCCAAGACAAGCTCAGGACTCCTTACCTTGGAGAGTTTGATGAGGCTAGATATGTGTTCAATCTACAAGAAAAGGCAGAGAGACAGTGACACTGAGAGTCCTACTTCTGCCTCTAATGTGGGGCCAAACTCTTTGGTCATGCCTAGGCCTCTCACCATTAGAAAACACACATTCCCGTCCCACATACCCACTGTAGACAGATATCTACCACATGCACGGTGACTACAGAAGCAAGGAGGGGACTGTACTCAGGATGAGCAGGGCAATCTCACTGGCCTCCATCCCATAGAATCCCCTCAACACTTATTCCTATGGCAAGAAAAGCCCAAGCCTTCTTGCCCACCAGACACAGCCTTGGATGCAAGTTCCTATTCTGGACACGTGGGAACGGAGGGGACTAGACAGGATGGCTAGCCAAAGAATCAGAGTCCCCAAGAGGGTCCTTACCTGAACTCGGGAAAAAGGCTCAATGACTCGGATCAGATTCTGTTCCAGTAAGTTATCATACAACTTGGCCAAGTGTGTACTGATGATTGGGTCATCCCGGAGCTCTGCCCGATAATCTGTCAGGGCCTGCCAAGAAAGCCAGTCACAGAGATTGGCACAGAGAAGCACCTAAAGTCACGCTACTCCTAGCTTCCTAAGTAGTTTGCTGGGCCTTGTAAACACGTAACTGACTGAAGCTCTAGAGGATCTGAGATGAAAGAAAAGTTATGCCAGAAGGCAAAGGAAAGGAAACATCAGGAACTAAAAGATGGAGACCCTTCTAGGCACCACCTTTCTGTCAGAAGGCCTCATGTTGACAGCCCAAACCATGTAAGCCCGATACTACACAAGCAGTTCTCCACGTGTATCCCAAAGAGTAAACAGGGTCTCCATGAAAAAAAAATTTTTTTTTCTGCGATTAAATAATGAGAAATGCTTGGGCACCCGGGTGGTTCAGTTAGTTAAACGTCTGACTCTTGATTTCAGCTCAGGTCATGATGTTAGGGGCGTGAGATTGAGCCCCATGTCCGGATGGGCATGGAGTCTGCTTAAGATTCTCTCTGTCTGCCTTTCCCCCTCCGTGTGTGTTAGTTTGTGTTCTCTCTTTAAAAATAAATAAAAAATAATGGGAAATGCTAAATCCCACAACTGGCTCATGGAGTTTTATAAGCACATCAGCATATAGTTCTGCAGTTAACAGGAAGCAAAACACCTAATTTTGTTCAGCCCTCATGTATCCCAGACCCTTATCCCCATCAAACATCCCAAACTTTAGGATAAAAAGATCTAGTCTACTTTGTTTATTCATGTATGTAATTTATTTACTTTGAGGAATGGTCTAAATATCCAGCCTCATGTCAGCTGTGCTACAAGGTGTTAAGAGAAGAAGCAAATCATGCCAAGTAAGGAAGTGAAATTGGCAAGAAAGCTCAACAAAGATGTGGAATCTTGGAGACAGCCAGAGCCAAATGGTTTAGCCTCCATCCACAATTAAGTTTTTCTTTCTAGATCTACATTTGTTTTTAAGTTGGTCATTATACTGAGACTAGGAGAAGAGAGGCTCAGAAGAGAATATACAAAGTCTCACCCTACTGCTTAGGCATGTTTTTTCCCCTTTTCAAACCTTGGCTAACAATGAGTAAAAGGCACAGGAGGCAAAGCCAGCCTGGAACATCAACCTCGGGAAGTGTCTTCTGGTCCATGTGCACATAGCAAGACTCTTTCTCATGCCCACAAGAGAAGCAGAGCTGGCACTGCTGGAGTTGAAGGAAACCCTATGACCATGGCCTGCAAAACAAGTGCCAGGCCTGGCACTGAGGCCTGACACGTGAGCTGTGGGGCTTCAAGCACTCTCCCTGAACCATAGGCTCAGCTCCCTCAACCATAAAATGCAGAGAAGAGGTTTGTTGTGAAAAATCTAAGTGACAGGGAGCTTGGGTGGCTCAGTCATTAAGTATCTGCCTTTTGCTCAGGTCATGATCCCAGGGTCCTGGGATTGAGCCCCTGCACCAGACTCCCTGCTCAGTAGGGGAGTCTGCTTCTTCCTCTCCCTCTTCCACCCGACTCATGTTTTCTCTCACTCACCCTGCTCTCAAATAAATAAAAAATCTTAAAAAAAAAAAAGAGAGAAGAAAAAAATCCAAGTGAAAAAGGATGAAAGAACATTTTTTTAAAGATTTTATTTATTTGAGAGAGTAGAGCAAGAGTGAGCACGAAGCAGCGAAAGAGGGAGCAGCAGAATTCCTGATGAGCAGGAGCCCAACATGGGGCTCGACCCCAGGACCCAAGGATCATGTCAGACACTTAACCAGGCGCTCAGATAAAAGAACTTTTTGAAACTGAAAGGTACTATATAAAAATGAGGTACTACAACTCAACAAGTTTTGTTGTATAAAATTTCCAGGTTTTGATACTGCACTATAATTAAAATGCAACCACTGGGGAAAACTGGATGAGTAATACATGGGATCATTGGGTACAGTCTTTGAAAATTCTTATGAAACTATAATTATTTACAAATAAAGAGTTTTTTTAAGCAAATGCCCCTCTCCTCCACCCATTCCCTACCAACCCAATACCCTGCTTACCTTTTCAAAATCTGCCAGTGATCTATTCTTGCTAGCCTGAGCCACACATTTTAATGCTTCTGTCTAAGAGTAAAGAGAAAAACAGTGACAGTGATCTATTCTGTACATTCACATCCCATCCAATATATGCCTTAAGCAGTATGCTATGTCCACACAACTTCTGGCTACAAGGAAGAACCCACCCCACAAATGTTCTTCAGAGGCCTGGAAGAAAAGCTAGACCACCACCACTGTGTGCCACCAGTCTCCCTTTGAAATCTGAAATGACTTAAAAATACTAGGAAATAGAAAAAAAGGAAAAAAAGAAAAAAAAGAAAGAAAAGAAAGAAGAAAAGAAAAGAGAAAGAAGGGATCCCTGGGTGGCGCAGCGGTTTGGCGCCTGCCTTTGGCCCGGGGCGCGATCCTGGGGACCCGGGATCGAGTCCCACGTCGGGCTCCCGGTGCATGGAGCCTGCTTCTCCCTCTGCCTGTGTCTCTGCCTTGTCTCTGCCTCTCTCTCTCTCTGTATGACTATCATAAATAAATAATTTAAAAAAAAAAGAGAGAGAAAGAAAAGAAAAGAAAAGAAAAAGAAAAGAAAAAGAAAAGAAAAGAAAAGAAAAGAAAAGAAAAAGAAGCCCTTATATGGCATTCGCCAAAGAGGACAAGCTAAAAGAAAAAATGACCAGAGAACTGTGATCTCTTTCCCCCTCCTCCAAGGCTCCTTATTCCCAAAGCCCACTGACTTTCTTGCCCTTAGACCTGGTCATACCTGTGCTTCCAAGTCTCATTCTGCTAGGTTTGGTACAGAGCAAGAGCCAAGATCTACTTTCATTAGGGTTGAGACACCAAAATTCTACATATTATATACTCAATGTTAAAGTGCCATAGAGAGATGAAGGTGCAATCAGTGGTTGAGGTAAACTTCTAGCCTCATTATAAAAGGCACGTTCACTCAGCAAGAAATCTACAATCTTTCTGGGAGTCTGTCCTAACTCCTACTTGAAAGCTGTCATCAAGGTCCAAATGACCAGAAGTAGCTTCTCTGGTACCAGCCCATGCATTTACATAAAGATGGTATGTCATAAGGCAGAGTTTGAAATGGTGCAAAACTAACCATTAGTGTAGTGTGTCACAGTATTTGTCCGAGAGAAAAAAATGTCATAATGAGAAAAGCCAGATAACCCAAGTTCAAAGTCTGGCTCCATCATTTAATAGTTAGGTCCTGGACACTTGGTCTCTCTTAGCCCATGTCTTCAATTCTGATTCTAGATAGGGCAGTGAGTCCTTCACTTTTGTAATAACGACTATACCTGTGGTCAAAAGTAGGAGCCCCAAACCAGGGCCACTTGTAGAGAAAGAAGAAACCATCTGTTGCGGCCATTCCTCCAAAGAGCTCATGAGTCTATTGTTCAGAGACAACTGCATTTGAAATCTAGAAAGATTACTTTTACTTTACTAGTGATAATCCAACAAAGTACAGAGAAGGCATGGTCCAGGTATCTGAGTCCTCCTTTACACAGGTCATACTCATACCTACTCAGGCACAAAAGGAGTTACCTACTTTCAAATGCCTCTTGCACCACACTCAAAACTCAAGACATGAGTGGGAAGGTATACTCAAAAGCCCTTGGGTGAGCCATCAAAGCCTAGTTTCTGCACCAAGCACTTTGACCTTCTTAAAGCACCTCCCTAAAGTACACCAGACTTTACCAGGTTCCAGACTCTTGGAGAATCCAAGTTTTCATATTCTGCACATGTTAAGTTTACAAGTCAGGCTCAAGACAGATAAATTTTTTGGTCAAAGCTAAAGGTAGCCTAACTCATACAAATGCCTCAGTTCAGTTCTATAACTCCCTCAAACCACCTGATGTCTATAAAAGCATCAAACACTAAGAATTGACCAGTATAGAAAATACACAGAATGGACTTAAGGGTGGCGGGAGGAGTGGAAGGTGACATGGAGAATACAGAATTGAGACTGAAAAGCACTGGTCTCACCAGGCATCATGACTGACAACATGCTGGCCTCAACAGTGGGCAGAGATCATAACTGCAGTCAAGGTATTCCCTACCTGCCTCCCCGCATACCGCAGTGCAAGCTTCCCGCTCACCAAAGCCTGGACATCTTCTGGGCTAGAAAGAAAAAAGACATACTTGGTCACTACTCCAGGATGTTATACTTCTAAGTATAAGTTTAGGCAAATTTCTTTTTCTCAGAATTCCACTGAGATGACTGCTCATGGAGGTAAGAGTCCCCACCCCTAAACCCGTATGTCCCTCACCTCACAGAAGCCAGGCTTTCTCCACTCTAGGCCCAAGCTCAGCACTGAAGAGTAGAAAAACTCCAGCATTAAAAAGAAAGCCACACTGAATGTACCAAAAGTTAACAGACCCAACAGGGAGAATGATAAATGTAAGTCAAATCCCAGTACAACAGGTCTTGTTAAAACACAACCCCTGTGTAATCCAAAGATCCAAAAAGTCCTGGTCAATATCACACTTATTCCCACAGAATATAGATAAGTTCTGCAGAATTCCTTATAAAAACATTTATCCTACTTGCTGTTGTTCCCTAGCCTCACTCATACTTAACTCACCCCATTCTGGGTGGCCCAGTTGGCCAGTGCTACACTAAACTGTTTCTAGGCTCTCTGGTGCTCAGCAACTGCCTGGTCAGAATAATTAACAGGATGATATGAACACTCCAAAAGTCTGGAAAGGAGATTTATCTAATCTGTCTCCCCGATTCTCAAAGACTAGGAAGCAAAAGTGCTCTGGAACACCTTCAATCCTCCCACTCTACATCAGCCAGCACCAGAGACAGCAGCTGCTACTTCGAACCAGCCCCAACTCCCTGTGCAAGCCAGGTCTGCATGGCAGGAAACAGAGGTGAAGAACTTGAGTTCTCATAGCCACAAATTAACGTGCACCTACGTGTTGAGCATGATTTTGCAGAGCAACATGTACTTCAGAGATGTGATGGCCTTGGGGCTATCAATGGAGTCATAACCCTCAAACGCCTCATAGAAATAGGAGTATGCAGTTTTCCAATCCTTCTCCTCTGCTGCATGGATAATACCTGGGCATTGAAATAAAGAAGTAAAAACCATTATGAAATAATAGACCCATCAAAGATCAGAGCAAAGGGGATACCTGGGTGGCTCGGTGGCTAAGCGTCTGCCTTCAGCTCAGAGCATGATCCCGGGGTCCTGGGAACGAGTCCCATATCAGGGTTCCCGCAGGGAGCCTGCTTCTCTCTCTGCCTGTGTCTCTACTTATCTCTCTGTGTCTCTCATGAATAAATAAAAATAAATAAATAAAAAATAAAAAGATCACAGCAAGGGCCTCCAAAATCCAACACAACCCTCTCTACTTAGTGATGAGGTCAGGAAAGGATAAAAGGACCTGTTCCAAAGTCACTGCCAGCTAGTGGTGAAAGCTGGGATTAGAACCCAGGTCTTTAGTCTCCCAGTTCAATGTCATCTTGACAACATAAATCCCAAAGAGGTTAGAGACCCTTTTAAAGGGGATCCTAAAAACCATGCACCAACATCTTTCCCCATGCTTCTTTACACTACTGTGGTTCTGCTATCTTCTAAGGCCACTAGAAAAGGCCATAGTTACCCTCCAGGACATCACCCTCATAGATTAGGAAGCTGAATCAAACATCCCTGGACTGCCTGAATAACTTGTTTTAACAATATTTCTTTAAGAGACCATTTTTAAGCTTGACATTTTTGTATGTAAGCAGCTCTCATAAGAGAAAAAAAAAAATCCAACTTCTTTTGCTCTCGTTGTATTTGTCATTTATGGATGTGCTTTTGCTTAGATGCAATCAATATAGATTTCATATAATGCCAGATCCATGAAATTAATTTAACTGGACACTTCCTTAGGCTAAGATATCATAGTTTCTATAAACAATTCTCTACTGTTTAGAAGTTGGGTTGCAAAAAAAAAGAAAAGAAAAAAAGAAAAGGAAAAGAAAAGTAAAGTAAAGAAAAGAAAAGAAGTTGGGTTGCGCTCAAAAAGGCTAACTTTGATTAAACTTGCTAGTACTTCCAACTGTGCTATCACTTGGGATAATATGAAATTTAGTTCCTTCTAGCTTGGGAGGCATCTGAGTCCTCAAAGCGTATATCAATTCTAATTCTGCTTTAGCCCCTTATGAGGTTACAGACCTCAGCCCCACTCATTTACCACAGTTTTCCCCGACATTTTTCACATTGAGATACACTGAGAAAGTATTCAGCACCTTGAAGTAAAAGGATGAGATTGTTTACACATGACCCAAGGGAACAACATTTCAGCACATTTTTAACCCACCTATCACATAGCTGCGTGCCTACACACCATCTGGGAACTTCGGACTTAATACCATTTACTGAGTGATATATGCCATACCCCAATACTTTTACTCTACCCAAGAAGCCTCTCATTTTGAAGCTAAAGGAATCAGACCCTTCTTCACTACTGTTCTAAAGAGAAAAATTCCCATTCCCCATACCTCCTGGTCTAGAGCTAGAAGAAAACAACACACCACACAATAAGATTGGCCAAAAAAAAAAGTAAAATAAGGCCCATGAACCAGTATACTGCTTTCCCAAATACATTAATAGGGCCCACATTAGAACTCCAAGCATCATGGCTAGTATATGAGGTTTATTATTTTAAAACAAAATAGCAACAACATAGTCTCACAGTGGGGAAAGATGGTCACCAAAATGAGATTACTGCCATAATATATACAAAAGAATATAGCTTTGAGAGAAGTCCAAAAAAAAAAAGCACTCAAGAGGATTACAGATTAGATTAGACATATGAACTGGACCTGGAAGGGTGCATGGGAGTTTACCAAGGGGATAGATGCAAAGGGGAATTTCCATGCAAAGAAGACAAAATACAGAAAAGGCACAAAAACAAGAGCACATGAAGTCATTTGGTGACTGATGAAAATGAAAAGATGCCTTCCTTTTCCATACCATGTTAGAATAAAATGTAGCCTGGGGATATGGGGAGCCACTGGAGAATTTCAAACAAAGGTGTTAAATGATCTGATTTGTGCTTGAGAAAAATGACTTTGGGGCCAATAAAAAAACAGTGGACTGGAAAAAGGGCTCAGAGACAGATCAGCAGAAGACTGCTCCAATTATAGTAGTGACTGTAGAGATGGAATAGAAAAGGTAGGTTTGGAGACAGACTCAACCTGATCTAGCAACTGACTGGATATGAGGGGTGAAGAGAAAAAAAGAGTCAAAATTACTCCAAAGACAATAGCTTGAGCAACAATAAATAAATAAGTAAGTAAATAAATAAATATATATATATATATATATATATATATATATATATATATATATATATAAACCATTAACTTGAATAGAAAAAAAGGTTGAGGGAAGAGTTAGATAATAATTTTGCTTTTTGACATGTTGAGGCTAAGACTCTTCTAAGGCATTTAAGTATATATGTCCATTATGCAGCTGGAAATCTGGATCTAAAATTTAGGAGAGGGCAGCCCCAGTGGCGCAGCGGTTTGGCGCTGCCTGCAGCCCGGGGTTTGATCCTGGGGACCCTGGATCAAGTCCCACGTCAGGCTCCCTGCATGGAGCCTGCTTCTCCCTCTGCCTGTGCCTCTGCCTCTCTCTCTCTGTGTGTGTCTCTATGAATAAATAAATAAAATCTTTAAAAAAATAAAATAAAATAAAATTTAGGAGCGAGGAAAGCTACTGAGGATGTAGGTGAGGAAACTACTAGTGGCATGTAGCAGCTAAAGTCATGGGTGAGTACGGCATTTTAGAAAGGAAACAGAGAACAGGAAAAGAAAACAACTAAGAAAACACTGAGGACACACTTAAAATTTAAAAGTCAGAAGGAAGAGGAAAGGAAACGGCAAAGTGTGACCATGGATAGTTAATCAACGGAGGAGAACCAAGAAGACAGTGATGTCAAGCCTAAAGTGTTCTAAAGGATTAACTTCTCCCCAAAAGTCAAGAGGTTCTAAGGGACTTATTAATTCTTTCAAGGAGTCAATAGAGACCTCAAAGTAAGGATACTCTTTGAACTTTTCCAAGAAACTTGACAGAAAGAAGACAGCAATTTACAAAAGAGAAAGAGCCTGTGTTTTTGAGCCAATGCAACTAAAGGATTAAGAGGAAGATCCAAATAAAGAAGAAAGACTGAAGACAGAATAGAACAAAGGTAAAAGAATCATTCCTAATAAGGAGTAGACTGAGCTGTGATACAAATTCTAGAGAAGAAAAAGGAAAGAGCTCATGTAAACATGGCCTCTATTTTCCCTCTGTGAAATCCAATGCAAATTCATCTCTTGTCCCTGAAGGAAGGGCATAATGAAAGGACAGCAGCTTTAAAAAAGTGCCAGGGGCACCCGGGTGGCTCAGTAGGTTAAGAGCCTACCTTCCGCTCAGGTAATGATCTCCCTTCTCACTCTGCCCCTCTGCCCACTCGTGCGTTCACTCTCTCCCTCTCTCTCAAATAAAATCTTAAAGTGCCAATATTGGTTAAAGGGAGGACTGCTATAAGAGCTTCACATTTATCATCTCACTGAATCTTCACCACAATCCTATGAGGAGGTATTATTATTATCACCATTTTAGAGATGACCTAAAGACAAATTAAGTAACCTGTCCAAAGTCGCAAAGAACCAAAATTTGACAGAATCAAATTGACAGAACCAAAATTTCAACCAAGGAAAGGTGGTTTGTAGAGCTTCTGCTCCTCCTCTCTGACTGACAATACAAGCTATTTGATATTCACAATACCTGATAAGCAAGTAGTACAGGCATTGTGTTATGCAAACACGGAGAAAACATCCCAGGGAGGTAACGCCAGGATTTATACTAGCCTTCTGCCTCCAAATCCAGTGTTCCATCCATAATGATGATAAATTATGACTAATAAAAGCTGCTGACTACAAAAAACAGGCATGACCTCTGAGCCCCAATATTCACACTCCATCAGAAAGGTATCCACTGGGGATCCCTGAGTGGCTCAGCGGTTTGGCGCCTGTCTTTGGCCCAGGGTGCAATCCGGGAGTCCCAGGATCGAGTCCCACGTTGGGCTTCCGGCATGGAGTCTGCTTCTCCCTCCTCCTGTGTCTCTGCCTCCCTCTCTCTCTATCATGAATAAATAAATAAATAAATCTTAAAAAAAAAAAAAAAGAAAAAAAAGAAAGGTATCCACTACATTCAACTGAAATGGGGGATAGTGGAGGAGACTTTCCTTAGCCTTGATCTGACACCCTTTGGAAAAGTCCAACATCCTTTACCAAGGCTTCCAAGCTGTGACAAGAGACTTAGGTTAGTCCAACCATGGAGAAGTGGTACCCTTTAAGTGAGTGACTAAGATACAGGTTAAGGGAGATTTTTAAACCTGTAAAGGTCGGGATGCCTGGGTGGTGGGTTGAGCACCTGCCCCTGGCTCAGAGCGTGATCTGAGGTCTCAGGATCAAGTCCCACATCAGGCTCCCTGCACCTGGAACCTGCTTCTCCCTCTGCCTACGTCTCTGCCTTTCTCTCTCTGTGTGTCTTTCATGAATAAATAAATAAAATCTTAAAAAAAAAAAAAAAACCTGTAAGGGTCTTGGCTCTAACAATTAGGCTGCCTTGCCCATCACAGTATTTTTTTTTTAATATTTTTATTTGTTTATTCACGAGAGACACACAGAGAGCGAGAGAGGCAGAGACACAACACAGGCAGAGGGAGAAGCAGGCTCCATGCAGGGAGCCTGACATGGGACTGGATCCCAGGACTCCTGGATCATGCCCTGGGCTGTAGGCGGCGCTAAACCGCTGCACCACCAGGGCTGCCCGGAAGGTACTCTTCTAATTGGGTTTCTCTGAGTTTGAGCAGAATCAGCTAATTACATTCTCTATCCTGACATTCCCCCATTCCCCACTGTGATATAAAAAGATCTTTAAGAAAACATCACATGAGCAGCTAGGGTGTTACCTGATTGCATATCCAAGGTGGCCTGCAATTTAGGAGGGCAGTAGATAGCATTTGCTGTAGTTCGAGCAGAGGTTAAGGCAGCTCGGGCTTTCGGCAAGTTGCTCAGGGCATGGTATGTTTTGCTTTCTAAAAGCTGTACTTCCACCAAAAGGGCTTTGTCATCCATCTTTTTCAACTCCCGCAATAGCTGAGAACCTGGAGCAGGAAAAAATATATACCCCTTTGTTATCCATAATCTTAATACCTTAATACTATAACATCTTACTCTCCCACCCTCATAAGAACACTCAGGATAAAGAAACCTGCCTGAACTCAAAGAGAGGTAGTCTACTTGTGAGAATTGTATTTTTTTTTACTATGTGCTATCTTCCCAAAGAGAAACATAGATCTCAAAAAAAAAAAAAAAAAAAAAAAAGAGAGAAACACAGATCTCTTTGAAGTTTTTGGCATACTAATGACATTAGACCCCAAAGTCCTATAAGCTTCTTCAGATTTGAATACAGTGACAATCTCCACCCAGAACATGCTGAAACTAGTTATTTGGTTCAGACAGCCACTAGATATCATTCTTTTCCTGTCTAGCAATTATACGATTGCATAAAAAATCGCAGGCACTAAGGCTGGTGGGTTGGGCAAGGCAAGAGTTCGGGACATGCCAATGCTCTCCAAATACACCTTCTTCCCACCTCAGATGAGAAAATCCAATCCAAACAGATTTGTACCATATATAGAAATAAATAAATAATGACTGATAAATCATAAGACCCAGGGTGCCTGAGTGGCTCAGTCATTAAGGCATCTGCCTTCAGCTCAGGTCATGATCCCAGGATCTCTGCTCAGCGAGGAGCCTCCTTCTTCTTCTCCCTCTGCCTGCCACTCTGCCTACTTGTGCTCTCTCACTGACAAATAAATAAATAAAATCTTAAAAAAAAAGAAAAAAAGAAATCAACAACCTGAATGTAAGAGCTAAACCCTTAAACACAGGATCTGGGATTAGCAACGATTTCTTAAGTATGATACCAAAAGCATAAGCACAAAAAAATAAACAGGACTTATGGGCACCTGGGTGGCTCAATCACTTAAACATTCAACTCTCAATTTTGGCTCAGGTCATGATCTCAGGGCTTTGAGATCAAGGCCTGCATCAGGCTCCATGCATGGAGCCTGCTTAGGATTTTCTCTCTCCCTCTCCCTCTAACCCCCCTGCACCCCTACGCCTATATGCATTCTCTTTCTCTCCCTAAAATATTTTACATACATACATACATACATACATACATAAATGTTTTAAATTAGAATGTGCCTCAAAGGACACTATTCAAGAAAGTAAAAAAAGCAATTCATAAAGGGGGGGGGGTTTGCAAATCACATATCTGGTAAAGGACTTGTATCCAGAATAAACAATAAGAACACAAACAACCCAATTAAAAAATAAGCAAAAGATTGAATAAACATTTCTCCAAAGACATATAAATGTCCAATAAGTACATGAAAAGATGCTCAACATTACTAGTCATTAGGGAAATGCAAATCAAAACCTCAAGATACGACTTTTACCCCTACACAAAGATGGCTAATAAAATGTGGCATAACCACACAATGGGTATTCAGCAATACAAACAAATAAAGCAGTGATACATGCTATAACATGTACAAACCTTGAAAACATGCTAAGTGAAAGATGCCAGTCACAAACACCACATATTACAGGACTGTATTTAAATGAAATGTCCAAATGGGCATATCCAATAGAAGCAGAAAGTAGATTAGTGGTTGCCTGGCAGGGGGTAGGGAATAATGGGAATGATAACGAACAGGTACATGGGTACAAGGTTTCTCTCCGGGGGATGAAAATGTTCTAAAATCTGATTGTGGTGATGACTGTACAACTATGAATATAGTTAAAATCACTGGCTCATACACTTTGAAAAGGGTGAAATTTTATTGGTCTATGAATTACAACTCGATAAAACTGTTACTTTTGGGGGAGGAGGGTGCCTGGCTTTTTTTTTTTTTTTTAAGACAACAGAAATTTATTCTCTTATAGATCTGGAGGCTGGGAGTCTGAAACCAAGGTGCCAGCATGGCCACATTCCCTTCTAAGGCTCCGAGGAAAATCTGTGCCATAATGCTTTCCTAGCTCCTGGGGGTGGCCAGCTCTTCTTGGTATTCCCTGGCTTGCAGGAAATCCCCTAGAATCACCAGTCTCAACCTGTGTCACCCCATGGTTGCCTCTCCTCTGTGTGTTTCCAAATCCCTCTCTCCTTATAAAAATGCCAGTCATTGGATGGAGGGCCCACCTGAAGCCGGTATGAACTTGATCATGGAAGAGCATGCAACTCTTGATTTCAGGGTCATCAGTTCAAGCCCCACATTGGGTGTAAAGATTACTTAAATACATTAAACTTTAAAAAAAATTTATTTGATTAATGCTACTATTTGAACCACATGCAATATCATTTTGCAGGATAAAAACTGAATATTGGCAATTTTTTCAGCTTAATAGATCATGAGAAGCCATGTTCTTCCATCTGGGAAAAATAGTCCAAATCTACCATTAAAAAAAAAAAAAATGCAGCAGGCAAAGTCTTTTAGGGTTTTTAAAGGCCACACAGCAGAAAAGCTTTAGTCAGCTCACTCTAGCTACCATATATATTTGCATCAATTAATTTCTTGAATTTTTTTTTTTTAAGATTTTTATTCATGAGAAACAGAGAGAGAGACAGAGACAGAGAGGCAGAGACACAAGCAGAGGGAGAAGCCATCTCCCTGTGGGAAGCTCAATGTAGGACTTAATCCCAGGACCTCGGGATCATGCTGAAGGCAGACGCTCAACCACTAGCTTCCCAATTTGTTGAGTTTTAAAATAGATGTTAAGTGTAATTATAAACAAGTATAATAAATGTAATAGTAAAATACTTGCAGTTTGACCCTTTTGCTTTCTAAATTTGACAGATAAACTTTGGTTACTTACTTAGAACTTCCAAATGGCATTTCTCCACGACAGATTCAGTAAATGTAAGCCACTTTAAATCCCTCTTAGAAGTAGACAGAACAGGTGCACCTGAATGGTGCAATGGTTGAACATCTGCCTTTTGGCTCAGGTCGTGATCCCAGGGTCCTGGGATCAAGTTCCACATCAGGCTCCCCACAGGGAGCCTGCTTCTCACTCTGCCTATGTCTCTGCCTTTCTCTCTCATGAGTAAATAAAAAAATTAACAAAAAAAAAAAAAGAAGTAGGCAGAACATAAATTATTAATACATAACTAGTTAAGAGTGGCCAGGTTCAGAATACATTTGCCAGCTAGGATGCCTTATTACTTTCTACCAGCTTACTTACCCAAATGCAATGCTTCCTGGTACCTCTTGGTATCAAAGTACAAAGACACCAGTCTTGCCTAGGAAAGAGAAAAGGCATTGACTGATAGAAAGAAAGAAAAAGCCAAAGAAAGAAATCAAAGATTGACAGTCACAGAACTGTTACTGCTGAATACACAAGTCCTGGAGAGAGCATCAAATCCAACCTAAGAAATGATCTAGCCCATGGTATTATCTGCTACTATGACCAGTGACTGACTGACTTAACTTTACTGTCCTGCTGTTTACTTCTCTGAGTCACACAGCAGGTCTGTCTCAAAACTTCAACCAGAGTATTTTCATGAGTGGGATTATTATCAATGATCTTTGGGTGCCTGGATAATACAAAATTACTGAAAATACTTTTGATCGGAATGATGTTACTTACATTCACAGTCTGTCTAATGCCTAGAGACCTGAAAGTAGTATTAACGCAGGCACATACCTCCAAAGCTTGGCGTAAGAAAGTTCGTTTCTCTGACTTGGCCCATTCGATGCACTCTAAACACAATTCAACCTACAACAGAGAGACAGTACATACAATATTATGTCTTCACATTCTTCCCACAAACCATGCTTTGGAGAACAGCTTCAATTCCCTCCTTATCTATTACCCATGTTGCTCTATTTAATGTCTCAGGGGACATGCCTTGATCTACAGTATCTCACTGTGTAATGGTTATATAATGGAGAATTAACTTGGCTTTTTAGACATAATGTATCTTTGTGCTTAGGTTGTGATCTTTTGAAAAAGAGCTTCACCTTCAAGATTCCTCTTCTACCTTCCCAGGAGGGACCCAGAACTTCCAATATATAGCCTGGAATACAGATTTCTACAATGGCTGAGAAATCTTTAAAGCAGAAATTTCTCCCTAAATACTTGCAAATAATAACTCAATGTGTTAATCTGAACCCACTGGTAATGAAGGGGAAAAAGCCTCAGACTGAGACTCTTATTCCTAACAGTTGCTTGTAAGACTGAAAAGGCCCAGCTGGCTCTTTCCTTTCCGATACTAAGAAGTGCAACTAACCAATTCATCATCATAATACAATACATTTAGCACATATTAGAGGAAGTAAAAAGAAAGCAGAATTAGCCTAACACTTAAAAGGACTTTAAAGCTTTATTTAAAGGTGCTTTGGGGGCACCTGGCTGGCTCAGTTGGTAGAACATGTGACTCTTGATCTCAGGGTCCTGAGGTCGAGCCCCACATTAGGTGTAGGGCCTACTTAAAAAAAAAAAAATGAATGAATGAATGAATAAAAATAATAATAAAGGTGCTTTGCACCCTCAGTTCTATCTGCCACCCAAGCAGTGAGAGAACATGCAAAGTAAGTGATTTAAAGCAGTGTTCTATGCTAGAGAGTCTACATGCCATCAGGTATCTGTGACATATCAGCTTTGAGAAAGTGCATATAAGTACTGCAGATCTTACATCACTCTATTACTGCAAGTTTTGTATTAAGATTCCTAATCAGGGCAGCCTGGGTAGCTCAGCGGTTTAGCACTGCCCTCAGCCCGGCGCCTGATTCTGGAGACCCCAGATCGGGTCCTGCACCGGGCTCCCTGCATGGAGCCTGCTTCTCTCTCTGCCTGTGTCTCTGCCTCTCTCTCTCTCTGTGTGTGTCTCTCATGAATAAATAAAATCTTAAAAAAAAAAAAAAGATTCCTAATCAAAGCATAGTATAAAAAGAAACTGAACTTTCTGGAGAACTCATTGCTAAAACAACATGCCTTTACGTACTTCCAGAGCTCTCTTAAGAAGTATTATAAGGAAGGAAAAGGAACAGAATATAATTCAAATAGACAGATCTTCTGTCTTTAGATCCTAAGTCCAAGTTCAGTAAATAAACAGATGACATTATATGGTAATTTGGAGGATTCACCAATGAGATACTCAACGGAACCTTTGTAACTCACTGAAGCCCTCTGGTGGCTACTTAATCTCCAGTGCTAAACTCAACCAACCTCATTAAAAATTCTATGAAAACTAAAATAAAAGCAAGCCAAGCACCATTTCAGAGTTTTGAGAGTTATGTTCTGAAAAGCCAAACTCATAAGATCTCTGTTCATGACATGAATGGAACTGAAAATATCTGCTGAATGGGTTTAATAACAAAAATACAAGAGTCCTTGATAGTCCTACATGTCTTGGGAGGGCTTAGAAATGCTTACCATCCCAATTTTATCCAGGGAGCTTTTTCAAAGAATACAAAAATGGATGCCACGGCTCCTGACTCAAGTTGTCTGGAATACAGCCTGGCCACCCAGATGTAGGTCTCTAGTTAAGAAACACTGAATTCTAATCCATCATCTCACCTGTCCCCATTTCCCTGACAGTCCAGATGTGAAGTGGCTCACTCAAGGTCGCATATCAGCTGCTGGAATCAGAACTTGACCCTATCTCCATGCTTTTGTCAAGTCAGTACTGACATTTCTCCTAGAGCAGGGATTTTTCACAAACTGAACGGAGAAACTGTTATCCTTTACAGGGTGCGTAATTTTGCACTATCTAGTACTATAATTGGTGAAGCCAGCACCTCAATTCTAAGGAAAAATTTTAAAGGCCACTGGCCTTGCTATACAACTATTTTGTTTGAGGCTCTGCGCTTGGTTAATGCTAACAATGACTGATAAAGGGGTAAGAAGATTTGAGAAGCCCCTGCTTCTGGAGAAAGCCTTTATTTGAGTACAAAAGCTTAAAGCTTAATGTGATAGAAATCAGACATTTAAGTTTGAAATCAATACACTTAACCATTTTTTAAAATGCCTTATTAACTAAATCCTAATAGGAGAATAGTAACTACTATTCCAAGTCTGAAATTCTCTAACACAAACTCCTTTTTTCCACAGAAATAACTGTTTCAATAACAGGACTCAATGTCAGGTTTCTTAAAACGTGCTACTGTTACTGCAGTTAGACTATACAAAAATGGCTTCTCTTGGGCAACTACCTGGAGATCCCTGAAAGGTAAGGTTAATTTTGAGATTTCAGTTCACTATTTGGAAAGGGTCTGGCTCAGTCCCCTCCTCAACCCAATTCTCTACTCCCCTCCCCTTGCCAACCACCCCATCCTCACTCTCCCACTCCACCCCTTTTCTTTCTAGGCTCTAAAGCTTAGTGCTGCAATTGATTCAATCCTAATCTGATTTCTTATCACCTTTTGAAATACAACAAACTGAAAACTGTTTTGTAGACCTATCCAACTTATGGTTAGTTCCCAAGCAGAAAAAGGCAAGGAAAATACCCTCCTCCTCCATCCTCTTGGGTACCAAACTCCCCAATACAACTCCTAGCTTTTTTTCAACAACGTTCGCAAACTTCTTTTGCCTCAAGCCACAATACTACTATTACAGTGACCTATAACTTTGCTCCTCTATCCTTTCCCATCACTCAATGAAAGAATTTTAAAAGAACCTAGGATGTTCCAAGATGAACACATAACTCCAATATATCCAAGTCAGAGACCTTGACTCACCTAGAGAAATGCAGTAACCACACTTAACACTTGTATCTCAAGTCACTAAATTTTTGTCTTATTTCAACAAAGTACCTCCTAAGCGTCAACCACTACCACAGGGAAGGCATTATACACACGTTCCTTCAACAAATATTATTCTGTAACTCCTCTGGGCCAAACTATTCTAAGTGCTGAGGACACAGCACTGGATGGGGCAAAGTAGCTATCCTCAGGGAACTTCTATTCTAAGGAGGAAACAGATGTTAAAAAGGAAAATAAATTATGAAGAAAAGTAAAGCAGACAGGATATTTTAGACAGGAAGGCCTAACCAGACACAGAGACACATGATAAAGGCTAGTAAACCCCACTAACAATGACAGGAGAGGAGGGCTAAATTATGATTTAATGGACCTCCACAAAGGAGTAGAACTGCTTGTTACACAAATGCAGTTCCATCCACTGAGCCAACTCTATGCTATGGTAAGGGACAAATTCTGGAGACTTCACTGTGCAAAAAAGCAGCTTTGTTAACTAATTTTTTTCTGCCTAAAAAGTTGCAAGTACCATGTATCAGTCTATTTCAAACTAAGGTTTCTTGGTCCACTCATTATAAGGCATCCCATTTCAAACAAAAGATGGTGTCACTTTTTCATGAGAACAAGTACAATAAAAGAAAAGTTAAGGTTAGATAAGACTAACATCCCTTTAAAATCACTTTTTCTTTTAAATTATTCATAAAAATATTTCTAATGCTTTGGTTTAAAAAAAAACAGCCATCTAGGGCAGCCCAGGTGGCTCAGTGGTTTAGCACCGCCTTCAGCCCAGGGAGTGATCCTGGAGACCCAGGATCAAGTCCCACATCGGGCTTCCTGCATGGGGCCTGCTTCTCCCTCTGCCTGTGTCTCTGCCTCTCTCTCTCTCTCTCTCTGTCTCTCATGAATAAAATCTTTAAAAAACAACAACAAAAAAAAGCCATCTAAATATTAACTATTTTTTATTTACTATCACGAAACAGAGTGCTGCCACAAATTTGGAAGACTTCTCTACAAATGAATTTTCTACAAATAAAGTTAGTTTATGGTGCTTAAACTAGGCCTCAAAGAATCATTAAGGCAAGAAAGCAGATTTTACCAAAGACCTGATTTCAAAGTGGGATCCCTATGTCCTAGATTTCTAAAATTCCTCATTATTTACTCAGAATGCTACTGTGCCCTTTCATACCTTTTATTTATACACCCACAGGGGCCAGAGCAAACAATTAGACATATAACCAACCAGCAATTCCTACCCTTGTCCTTATATTACCTGACATATTATATATTTGTTTATTGTCTGCCTTCCTTATTAAAATATAATCCCCATGAGAGCAGTCACTATGTTTTTATAAATATAATCCCATGTAACTATGTTTAACACATAGCCCACACTCAGTGAATACTGAGCAATGTACCTATAGGAAAGACAACTATGTTCTTCCTACAAACAGATTCAACCATAATCTATCCTACTTGAATCTGCTGCTTTTTACTGAGTAAGTTTTAACTTTGGTAGTGTCTCCTCCTGAACTGCAGAAAATATATCTTTGAAAAGTTCAGAAGAGGCTGATTCCAAAGAGGCACTCTTCAGTACGGTTCAGGGTCTGGTCTAAACTTGTAGAGGACATGTACAGGTACACCAGAGTCACTTCTGCACAGATGAGACACAAACAGATGGATGCTCACCCCTCCAGAAAGGCATATACGCAGTACAAAACACGCCAAGAAGGAATGCCACAAGACTTATTTAGTGCTCACAGGGAGCTTTGTGACACAGAATGAAAGGTACCACAGACACAGAAAACATTACAAAGGTGTGGCAATACAATACCTCAAAGACAAGAATCAGTTTGTGACCCTGATGTAATGAGGATTCCAGGGACCACTGACAATCTCCACTTACAAAGCAAAGCATGGAACAGACCCAAAGTATCAAATGCCCTGTAACAAAGAGAAACTGACATGATAAGTCCTGAGCTGTCCTCCCAGCTATCCCTTCCACATTAGTACCACAGTGCAGGCAGGCATTTCTTTCACTGAAACAGACTTTTTTTTTTTTCCTATTGTCTACCTTCTGCCATTAAAGTAGCTTACCTCCTGCCCTGTTGCTGCTTCCATATCAAGAAAGAGATCAAGAAGAGATCGGACCAGACGAGCTGCCTTAGCCTTGCTGATGGAATTCAAGAAGGGTCGCACATACTTCAGGAGTCCTCCAAGCTCTGTGTGGAAGGCAATTCAGAAAAGAAAAAGGAAACATCAATATTAGAAACTAGAAAATATCCATTAAAATAGTGACCCAAGATCATAAAATCCATCCTTATGTCACTGTAAATCAGTCTAAATTAAGCACAGTAAGAATTTAAAGCATTCTTAGAAGGTAACAGAGTAGCAAAAATGAGTGAACAACATATACCAAATTTGTATTCTATTCCACACTCACCTACTTGGATTACTATGAGGGCACCTCTCTCAGCCTCATTTACCTGTCTTAATGACAGATAAACAGCAAAGTGCTCATAGTCTCAGAGCACAGTTTTCTACAACATGAAATATGCTGTGCCTCTGACACCTGAGGTAAAATCAACTTCCTCACAAACCTGATGAGGTTATGGGAGGGGTGTTTTGTTGTTGCTGAATTTCCAAGTCCATCATGGCAGCTGTCCTTTAAACAGAAGGTATTCAATTCCAGGTTCCCTTCTCCTCCTCTCCCAAAGTTCTCCCCAGTTTAGCCTTTTAGCAATATCACTTCCCTGGCACTCTGGCACTGAATAAACTTTTCACAGAAAACTTATGGTATTTTCCCTTTAAAGATATTCTATCCCTTAAAGATATACCTAAAATTCTTCATCTATCTGAAAAGACTAAGTCTTTTTTCTTAAGATCTTATTTATTTGAGAAAGAGAGAGAGAAAACACGAGTAGGGGCAAGAGGCAGAGGGAGAGGGAGAAGCAGACTCCACGCTGAACAGGGAAAGCCCCACTCGGGGCCACCCAGATGCCCCTGCAAAACCTAAGTTTTAAACTATGAACAAAAAAAAATGTTCAGCACAGAAGTTTCTCTCCCCTCAGATAGGAAAAAAAAGGTGGTACAGTCATTTTAAGGGAGCGGCTTTAGAAACAAGAGAAAAAATTACAGAATATTTCAACTCAATAACTACAGAAGTACTTTTGGAATGTAGGTTAAGGGGATCCCTGGGTGGTGCAGCGGTTTGGCGCCTGCCTTTGGCCCGGGCGGGATCCTGGAGACCCGGGATCGAATCCCACATCGGGCTCCCGGTGCATGGAGCCTGCTTCCCCCTCTGCCTGTGTCTCTGCCTCTCTTTCTCTCTCTGTGACTATCATAAAAAAAAAAAAAAAAAGGAATGTAGGTTAAAATTACTTTAGTGCCACGGCTTCATTAATATTCTTCAATTGTGGACTCACCCTCCTGAGGATTCTAATTCAGGGCAAGCAAACCTCACCCTCCTGAGAATGCTAATTCAGGGTCCTGAAATCCTCATCTGCCTGAATAGTCACAGGATACATGGGACTGTGTCAGGTACAAAAGGAACTTTATACAGTGGAAAAGCTCATCTTTACCTTCACTTCCCAGTATTGACCTGAGATTCCACCAAGATTTTCCCCATTATGCCATTTCATTCACCCCTGCATAGACTACACATGCTTCTGCTTTCATGCCTCACTCCCACTGCATTCCCATGGAGAATTTCTGACCCATCTTCTTGACTTATATAAACCTTAGATATCCTTTTAGGTCCAGCTAAAGTCCTATTGAGTATTCCATGCTAACTCCAGGCTGCAATGATTTCTCCCTCTCAAATTCCTTTTACACTTGTACAAAGCTTTTTAAAAGTAGTCTACTACAGGGCAGCCCCGGTGGCGCAGCGGTTTGGTGCCACCTGCAGCCCGGGGCGTGATCCTGGAGACCCTGGATAGAGTCCTATGTCAGGCTCTCTGCATGGTGCCTGCTTATCTCTCTCTCTGTGTGTGTGTGTGTGTGTGTGTGTGTGTGTGTCTCAATAAATAAATAAAGTCTTTAAAAAAAAAAAAGTAGTCTACTACAATGTCCCTTCTCCCACAGTATTTCCTACTATGCTGGAACAATTCTTTTTTTTTTTTTTTTAAGATTTTATTTATTTATTAATGAGAGACCCAGAGAGAGAGAGAGAGAGGCAGACACAGGCAGAGGGAGAAGCAGGCTCCATGCAAGGAGCCCAACGTGGGACTTGATCCCGGGACTCCAGGATCACGCCCTGGGCCAAAGGCAGGCGCTAAACTGCTGAGCCACCCAGGGATCCCAATGCTGGAACAATTATGAACAATCTCTAATGATAGGAATGTTCAGAAAGACTATTTGAATGTTAGTCAAATTTATTTGTTCTTTTTTAAAACACAAGTCTTTAGCCTCCCTCCACATGGCCTCAAATTTCTGAAGATAACTACCATTTATATCTCCTTAACTTTCCCTTTCTTCAAGCAAAACATCTTTAGCTATTTCAACTGTTCCTCCAATGTTCTGGTTTCTAGATTCCTTGTCACCGAATAGACTCTAATTTGCAAACGTAACACTTGTAGTACCCAGAATGGAAAACAATTCTCCAGGTAGGGTCTGACCAGAAGAATCATGGCCTAATTCTCTTGATCTGGCCACCACCGCATGTAACACAAGATAGCCTACTTCCTTTCTTCTAATAGGACTTTTGTTTAGGCTGAATCCATTAAGGTCTTTTTTGCATAGACCAGTAATTCTGCACCTTCCTCTGTTTTGATAAATACTTTTAAGCATATAGCTTTATAACTGCCACACTGAATTTAATCTTGCTGGCTTTGGCAATAACTGAATCTTAATTCTGTCCTCTACTATACTGAGTCATCTACAAAAATAAGCAGGCCTTCTGAAATGGCTTTAGCCATAATGCCAGATGCTGACCAGAAGAACAAGGACAAATCCCTATGACATGATGCTAGAGACTTCCCTCTAGGTTGACAAATGATCTTTACCTGTACCTATCATTAAAATTATGGTAAATGTTCAAATACCTTGTTTACCTATCAATATTATGGCAAATGTTCAAATGCCTTCTTTACATCAGATATGTACTCTGTATGTATCATTCTTCTAACCCAGAGGTTGGCAAACTTTTTCTATGACAGGCCAGATAATTAAGTATTTTCAGCTTTTTGGGCTCTGTGGTCTCAACTCAGTCACTGTAGTGCAAAAGCAATCATAAACATCATGTAAACAAATGGGTGTGGCTGGGTTCCAAGAAAACTTTATTTACAAAAAGCAAGTAGCAAGCCACTGTCTGTGGAGCCCTGCAAACCAAAGAGAATGAAGATGAGTTTGAAATCATCTTTTCTTGGGACACCTGGGTGGCTCAGTGGCTAAGCATCTGCCTTTGGCTCAGGGCATGATCCCAGAGTCCCGGGACTGAGTCCCACATGGGGCCTCCTGCATGGAGTCTGCTTCTCCCTCTATGTCTCTGCCTCTCTATCTCTCTGTCTCTCATGAATGAATGAATGAATGAATGAATGAATGAAAAAATAAATAAATAAATAAAATCTTAAAAAAAAAAGAAAGAAAAGAAATAATCTCTTTTTAATAAACCCATGGTCTTAAGTGATTAAAACCTAGTTATCAAATAATCTGTCCCAGATATTAGTGATTACCGGTTTCAAGAGTCTAGAAGTTATCCTTTTCATTATCTTCAGGCAAAGTGAAATAATGTTTGCCCATCCTCAGTTTCCTTAATACTTCTCCATCCTCCAAGACTTTTCTCAGAATAATAGTGGCTCTATAAATATATCTGCTAGAACTATGCTTTTGAAATTAAAAGACAGAAACTGTCAGAGCCTAGAGACTTGAACTTATTTAAAGAGCGTATCTGCTCTCTCTCTCCTCTCACCTACCTTGTCTTTAATTCTCTCATTCTGATGTTTTTTCTTTTTGAAAGTCATTTTTCTTCCTGGAAAAGGCTAAAGTGAAACATGAACTAAGCAGCCTGCCCTTTGCTCTAGCACCTGCTAGATTCTATTATCTGCTCCAAGCACTGATAGTGTTATTCTTCTTACCCTAACAGAGAAACAAATGACCTCTTAGTTACAAAAGATTCAGCTCACTTTTCATTTCAGTCTATTGCTACTATTCATTCTTGGTTATATTCCCTGTTTCTTTCCATTTTCATATATACTAATTTTAATTCCCAAAGAATCATACTGATTTCTTCTTCCTACTGAGATTATTTACAATTGCATGACCAGAACTTCCTTTTGAGAATCTCACAGAACTCAAAATAATTCTTTTAGAATCTCAGGCTATGAAATCTGCAGATCCTGAACCTAGCCATCATGTATAATGATGTGACTCATCACCACTTTCAACCACTATTATGAACAACCTTGCCTTATTCACTAATTCCCAAATTACTGTCGTAGGACAGGGACCTTACCTTAAATTTTTTGAACGGAATACTTACACAGTCCTAACTGTATATGAAGTGCATAATATAACAAAATTGAAGATTAACAGACTAGACAGATTTTCTGTTCTCAGGAAACCGAAAATCAAAGGAAACATAAACCTATCAATTATGAACAGCAAAGTTAGGTACATATGGAGGCCCCAAGACTTCCTTAGGGTTTCTATTGTATATACCTATACTCATCAAACTCTTTCTTAGAAAACAATGGTAGGGCAGCCCCGGTGGCGCAGTGGTTTAGAGCCGCCTGCAGCCCAGGGCGTGATCCTGGAGACCCGGGATCGAGTCCCACGTCAGGCTCCTGCATGGAGTCTGCTTCTCCCTCTACCTGTGTCTCTGCCTCTCTCTCCCTCTGTGTCTCTCATGAATAAGTAAATAAAATAAAAATCTTAAAAGAAAAAGAAAACAATGGTAAATAACCTGGAAAAGTTTCTGAAGTCCTTATGATTCACCTCTTAAATTTCAATAGGTTTAGCTATACACTTCTCAACTTCTCAGGTTCTGAGTCACAAAAAGGGGAGGCAAGGAATAAGGAGAGAACAAAGCATAAAACAGGAATTTCAAGCAAAACAGTTAACATTTTTGGATAAAATTTTTAAATGCTGACTATACTACATGCTATTTGTAATTATCCATGCTACTGGAGGAAAATAGATATTTGGAAATTTCAACAGCAGAAAAATCTTAAACTTTCCCCTTCTAATTCTTTCTGGAAAATTACCTTATTAATCATATTTTGTATGGACTAATTACCAAAACTATTATGCAACCTCAAGCTCACATTAACTGACAGGCAAAAGGAATCCATAAATATGTTAAATAGGAGAGAAGTCAGTATAAAATGAACAAAACAGGGATGGCTGGCTGGCTCAGCTGGAAGAGCATGTGACTCTTGATCTGAGGGTCGAGCTGGAGCCCTGTGTTGGGTGTAGAGATTACTAAGAAAATAAACTTTATTAATTTTTTTTTTTTTTTTTTTTTTACTTTATTTATGACAGGCACACAGTGAGAGAGAGAGAGGCAGAGACACAGGCAGAGGGAGAAGCAGGCTCCATGCACCGGGAGCCCGATGTGGGATTCGATCCTGGGTCTCCAGGATCGCGCCCCGGGCCAAAGGCAGGCGCCAAACCGCTGCGCCACCCAGGGATCCCAAGAAAATAAACTTTAAAAAATAAATAAATAAAATGAAAAAAAAAAACAGCAGCAACCACTAATAACCCATAAGTGAGTATGGAAAGCAAGAATCATTACACCATAAGGCCATGAGCTCTGAAGTGGGACAAACTGGCTCAAATCCTGGCTCTCCCACATACTATGAGTGATCTTTGATAAGTTATTTACCTCTTCTTTGCTCAATTTCTTCAGGTATAAAATGGACAACAGTGTCTATCTTACTGAGTTGCTTTGAGGATGCAATAAACTAAATCAAAGTTGTGCTTAAAATAGTAACTAGTTGGGATCCCTGGGTGGCGCAGCGGTTTGGCGCCTGCCTTTGGCCCGGGGCGCGATCCTGGAGACCCGGGATCGAGTCCCACGTCGGGCTCCCGGTGCATGGAGCCTGCTTCTCCCTCTGCCTGTGTCTCTGCCTCTCTCTCTTTCTCTGTGACTATCATAAATAAATAAAAATTTAAAAAAAAAAATAGTAACTAGTTGACAGCACTTAAAAACTGTTTTATTGGGATGCCTAGGTGGCTCAGCAGTTTAGCGCCACCTTCAGCCCAGGGCCTGATCCTGGAGACCCTGGATCGAGTCCCATATCAGGTTCCCTGCATGGAGCCTGCTTCTCCCTCTGCCTATGTCTCTGCCTCTCCCTCTGTTTCTCATGAATAAATAAAGTCTTTAATTAAAAAAAAAAAAAACTGTTTTATTATAACTTCAAATGATATTTTAAATAAGATACAAAACCCACATAAACACACCCTCCCAAATGCATACATCTTTACTCTATTTTCTATTAACTAAGCCTAATTAATCCATGTTAGTCATCCTTAATTGTGAAAAATCTTAGTTCTCAAGTTCAAGAAGTTTTGCTAACTTATACAAAGTAATTCACAAGGTCATTTAACCAGAACTTAATCCATTCTACATTAGATAAGATCTAAATTCACTTTAAAACTGACTCTTAAAAAATCATCCATTTTAAGCTTAAGCTACCTTCTCTCTAAATACTATTACCACTTTACTGGTCAAAGGCCCTTCCTGGTCTCTTATTTCAATGACTCTTATTCTAAGGACACACCCATCATCAGAAAGTCATTTCAAACCTAGAAACTCAACTGTTCAATTACAGCTAGAACATCTAGGCAATGACATGCACAAAGTCCCAGGTAATAATGGAGAAATCTCAAGGCTTTTCCATTACATGTCTCACTGCCTATCAGGAAAAAGCGACAGCTAGTCACTTACTTGGATGCAAAATCCCTCGTCATTTTCAAGTCAGGGGCCCAAGTCCCTATCCACCTTAAATAAATCAGTGCTGAAATAACTAATCATCTAAGCATCAGATAGCTGCTACTGGTGCTGCTGCCTTTATGTAAAGGAACACAGTAAAAATTCAAACCAGAAACAAATCACAGATCACTATATCCCAAGAAGAACAGGACTTTCCCTCACCTGCAGAACAAAACTGTTCCAGGAAAGAAGTGAGTTTAAAGGTCCACCTAACTTCCTGCTAAAAAAAGTGAAGCTCAACAAGTTGATGATAGCATGGATTTATACCACCAATACACTGTGTGGATGCATCCCTATGTTCCTCTACTCCAACAGAAACTTGAAACTTCAACATTTCAGGTAAAAGAGAAAGCAACCCATTTGCAGCACTCACCTGCAGCTTGTCCAGTCTTCGCCAAGAGAGACCCCAGTTCCAGGATACTCTGCTCTTTAACCTGCACTGCCTCCTCATCATTCTCCTGAATGTCACGCTTCACTGGGAGAGGAAAATGCAAACCTTCTTAGAATTCTGACAAAAAATGAAGACTGAGGGAAATTTCACCCTCACAAGAACAACACAAACTCAGTTACGAAAAGACAAAATCTAGAGAACTTAAAAAAACAAACAAACAAACAAAAACCTCCTAAAAAAGTGAAACCATCATGTAAGATATGTCCCATGTAAATTATAGATTACTGATTTTAAATGTGCCTTTTCAAAAAAAAAAAAAAAGGTGCCTTTTCATTCTATGAATTAGAATTCCCCTTACCCATATACATTGAGATTTGTTGCTGTCACTTGGTTAAAGCGAAATTCAAACAAGTTCTTCATACTTGTGGTGGTAAGCCCTACACTAGGCACTTTGTTACTGAATATATTAAACATGCCTAAATGTTTACATGCCACAAAGTAAAATCAAAAGACCATCGTTTACAGAGGACTAAAAAAGTAGTCTTTCAATAAACTTTAACCTGCAGAAAGCCTCACTAATGGGTGTGCTAGGGATAAGCAGTTGTACAAAGCCATTCAGGAAAAACAACCCAATCAAAGCTCCAGTGAGGTCCCTAGGAGGGATCACTGCTTTATAATGGATTCAGGACCTGTTAAAATAACTTTGTGCTATCCGTCCCACTTTCAACTGTTAATAACTATTTTACCACTCAAACACTGAATAACCTCTTGGAGTCTGTGGTGATAATTTTAGTGACTATCATTAGTTATCACTTCTCTTACAAAGAAAGCATCATGACTTGACAAAAACCACGACTTAGATACTCCATGATGGAGTCTGGAAAAAGTAAGACTGTAACCATCATGACTCAAGCTTGCTCTAACAGGGAAGCTTTCAGGGAACCCCCCCCCCCCCCCGCCCCGCCGCCGCCCCCCACCGTAGAGCGGACAATCACAGAGTGCTCCGACTATAATGACAGTTTACCATAATTCCACTTTATGAAAGACAAAATACTAGGCACTAAACAAAAAATAAAATAAAATCCATGCTTTTCAGATGCGTGTGTACTCACAGAATAAAAATGTGTATGTGGTTTTAAAGATGACGCTGGTTCTGTAATTCTGACTGACTTAATTCAAGATGAGAACTTCAAAACGAAAACCTTTCATTTGCCACAGATGCATCTTAACCCCCCTAAGATAAAGCCACCCAGATCCTGTCATGGTCTTTGCTCCACGCACGCCAGTCAGGAAGACCACACTTCAACAGACCAGCAAGTCCACCTCAGAGCCGGCTCCCGAAGGTCCCGCGTACACGTGCGCTCTTACGCTACTTGTTGATCCGGTCTGAATCTTCTCAAGCTACGTGAGAGAGAGCGCACCGCCACAGGTGCAGTGAGGAGCCAGCCCTTCACCACGGGACGTGCAAAGCCTCCTCGGTCATCACCAATCCATTTCTGTTCACACCTGAACCCCGGAAGAGACCTGTCGGAGGCGACTGGCTGGAGCTCCCGTCTCAGTTACCCGGGGGCGTGCAAGGTGCAAGGCAATCTACTACGAATCCACTTTAATGTTCTCCGGCGACCCGACAACTAACTCCCCGAACTCCCTTCCCACGCCTGCAGGAGAGACCTGCCAGGGCGATTAGTCACCTCGCGTGACCGGGCGGTCCCCGGTCGCTCCCGCACCCGACTCGGCGGCAAAGCGCCGTCTCGGGCACCTCTTCAAACCAAATGCCAGTCTGCAGTGTGTGTCCCCTCCGTGTTTCCCACACTCCCTTTAGCGCAGCCTTCCGCTGCGGGGCTGGGGGTAGGTGGTAGCAGCTCCAAGCGTCCCGAGGAACACAACTCCGAGAGAAAAGCGAGCGCTCGCGCGGCCACCCGGAGCGGGCTGCGCTGATAACAACGGCGGGAAACGCCGTGTACGGCGGGTTTCGCCGGGGCCCTCCACTCGAGGCTCAGTCCTGTCGGCGACAAGCCCGCGGGGCGGCACCGCTCGCGGTCCCGGGCCAGCCCGCACGGGCCGGAGCAGCGGCAAGGCTGGGAAGTGGCGGCGGCCCCGGCTCGGCCCACCCTCCCTCCACGCCGAGCCCACCGTGAGTCAGCAGCCGGCGAGCGGACCCCCGGGCTGCCTCGCGGCTTCCCACCCGGTGGGACCCCGCTGGCTCCAGGGAGCTGCTAGCGGCCTGTGCCCCCGGCCCGGCCCCCCTCACACACAGTGAGTCAGCAGCCCCGGAGCCGGCTAGCCCGGCCCCGCGCCGCCGCCGCCGCCCCACACACGGCGAGCTGAGCCGGCAGGGTCAGAGAGGGAGCAGGGCGACCTTTACCGATGGAGTGGAGAATGTCGATGGAGGCCTCCCGGTCAGTGCTGAGTAGAGACTGGGCTCTCTGGAACTCCACCACCGCCGCCGCCGCCATCTTACCGCTTTCACACCGTCCCTGGCCGCGGCCGCCGACGCCGGAAACACACTCCCGGAAAGCCCGCCCTCGCACCCCTCTTCGCCCATGGCTCGCCCCCCCGCCCTCTCCCGCTCCCAGAGCACCACGGGAGTTGTAGTCTTGCCGCGGGTCGGGGATTGAGGGGCGAGGGAGGGGAGCTGGGGCGCCCCAGCTAGTGGGCGGCAAGCTCCCCAGCACCGCCTAGCGGCCGACCGCCGGGAGAAAGAGGCGGTGCCTAAGAATTAAAGCCGAAGGCTAGTCCCCACCCACCCCAAAAGAAGCAACTCTCCTACCTCGCCCTTGAGGGGACTTTTTGAGCACCTGCCTAGGTATTCATTGAAAAACGTTTGGCTTCCTTTGTAGCTTCCACGTTTAAGCATTCATTCAGGGCAATAAACGATCTTATTAGTGCTCACTGTGGCACACAAAGAATAGCACCATTCAAAGGCGTTCAAGTGTCTAACATCTCTCTCTGAGTCACACACACACACACACACACACACACACACACACTTCCCAGGCTAGAATCCCAAAGAATCATACAGAATCATAGCCAGCCTGTGATTAAGCCCATCAGCGTCGGGAGAACTGATGTTAGATAGTGAAATACCATCTCTGCCCCATTCACTCAATAAATCCCTCTTGGGGGGTTCACATGGGACTCTAATGGCTACCTGAACTCTCTGCTCAGAAAAGAAAAAAAAATGGATTTTTCTAATATCTCTAGTTTCTTCAACTAGAATCATAGATATCTGAAAGGCTGCCAAGTGAAAAGAGAAAAGACATTCTGTGTGACCACTGAGGGGTGAGCTTAGGGAAGGGCTAAAAATACACAGAGGCAATGCAATATGAGGATTATGAAGACAATCCAAAACCAGAATATGTTGTCCCCTAAAGGGACCTGTAAAGGGAATCAACATTGCACTCCTCTTTGACTGGGTTAGGCAATTTATACATTTTTCTTTTATCCTCCCAACAATGTTCTGTGAAGAAGGCATTATTTACACTCCTTTCACAGGTGAGGAATGGGGTTTAAAGTGATTTGGTGATACTTATATGAGCTGAAACTTAATTTATCTGCAACTTAGGGAATGCATTCCTAGTTCCCGGATGTGTCCAAAAGAAAACTGGATCACATCTCAACAAGTTGTAAACAAGATTCATGGCACTGGTGGGGAAATTGATTAAATGGCTTCTAGATTTCTCCTACTTCTGAGATACCATGAATCTCAGTATAAAACTAAACCTTTCTTTGATTTAAAAAGTCATCCCTCCCTCCTCAATTTGGTGAGCAATCAATATAGTGTACCATAATATTAGTGAGCTATAAAATTCTAAAGCTGAGAACAACAGGAAATAAATATCTTTAGCTTCTAAAGACCTACCAGTTCATCCTCACTACTTTAGTAAGTAAAAGATTTACTAAAAAATGACTAGACCAATCCTAAAACCTTCAGCTACTTCCAGGCTCCATCAGGAAGAGATAAAAAAAAATCAAAAGGAATTCGTTAGAAGAAATCATGAAAGAGGATGAAATGCTCACCTCACTACCAAGAGGAAGCACTACAAAAGACTGGGGGTGTTTGTGAGATCTTTTTCCCAAGTTGGTGAGTCTTACTGACTATAGCAACCTAGCCATCTCTGTGCAGCCACCTTGGTAAGAGTTTTTTTTTTTTTTTAAGATTTTATTTATTTATTCATGAGAGACATAGAGAGGCAGAGACACAGGCCGAGGGAGAACAGACTCCCCTTGGGGAGCCCAATGCAGGACTCAACCCTATGACCCCAGGATCATACCCTGAGCTGAAGGCAGACCAAGTGCCCTTAGTAAGAGTTTTGAGGTGAGCCAGTCCTTTCTCACCAGGAGATTGGGGCCTTTATGCTTATTCATGAAGATGGTTACCACTTTTGGCCTACAGAATTCTGAATTAGGGAAGGAGGCTGATACATTCCACAATAGGACAAGGAAAAAGGGCAGCAATGGGACAGCCTCCACTACCTGTGTTTGGCATAGACAGGTGGCCAATTCAATAGGGCTTCCCACCAGAGTGAAAAGACCCAGTAATAAGAGACTATAGAAGAGTGGACATCAAGAAGCAATGACTGAAAAAGGGTCTTAAGGTCACAGGAATAGCCTCTAAAGAACCCATAAATCACATGGACCTCTGCTTCTAATGATATAAGTCATGTGAGACACTTTTACTTCCTTTCTTTAATCCCTCGCCTACTTCCCTGCTCTCCCCAAACACACACCTCACCCTTAATGCCAGAGGAGACAGCAGAGTGAGAGAGGGAGGAAAAAGAAAAGAGGAAAAGTATAAACTAAACACAAATTTCCAACTTAGAGTCAGAGAGGGGAGAAGCTTTAAAATAAATATGGGGGCACCTGGGTGGCTCAGTCGGTTGAGTGGTGTGGTCTTGATATCAGCATTGTGAGATCGAACAGATGTCAGATGTCGGGCTCCAAGCTCAGTGGGTAGTCTGCTTGAGGATTCTCGCTGTCTCTCTCCCTCTGCCTCTCCCCCTGCTTGTGTGCTCTCTCTCAAATAAGTAAATAAATCTTTAAAAAATAAAAAATAGATATGAAATTGATGTCTTGATTTAGGCTAGACTGGACTTTTCTTCTTAATAAATTATTTTTTAGAGCAGTTTTAGGTTCACAGCAAAACTGAGCAGAAAGCAGATAGAATGGACTTTAAGTCATTAGAAATGACCTAATAATTAGGAGACATTATCTCGAGGAAGAAATGGGAGATCCAACAAAGAATGGATAGAGGAATGTAGCTTGTACCTGCACCAAATCCTTCAATATGTCTATTACAGCACCACCATCTGCTCAGTTTCCTAGTTACCTAAACTGATTCCTCCTTTCTCCAACCATTGCCACCACAGCTAAATATTACCTAGTAGTTATTCTCCTGAACATGTTCTTTAGGTATTATCAGTTCCACACCATCCTCGCTAACATTTTTTTTAAAGATTTTATTTATTTATTCATGAGAGACACACAGAGAGAGAGGCAGAGACACAGGTAGAGGGAAAAGCAGGCTCCATGCAGGGAGCCTGACATGGGACTCGATCCCGGGTCTCCAGGATCACACCCTGGGCTGAGGGAGGCATTAAACCACGGAGCCACCTGGACTGCCCCCTCTCTAACATTTTTAAAGATTATATACATATAGTAATCTCCTAGTGGTCCTACTCTTTGGAGCTACCCAGTGATCCCATAGGAGATGCAAGAGGCATACAGGACTAGTTTATTACACGACTTGCCCTTGATCATCCCTTTCTTTCCCATCAAGTCCAAGAGAGTGATCTCTATACCTCCATTGTATCTTTATCTTTCAAACAGTATCATCAGGGAGAAAACACAATAAAAGGACCACAGGTTTTGGAGTAATCCACCTGCTTTCAAAGCCCAGGCCAGCCACTTTGCTGATGATTTTAACATGTTTCTTAATTTCTGTGATCTTTGGTTTTCTCATCTGGAAAAAAGGGATAATAAAACCTAACTCTCAAGGTTTCTGTAAGGATAGTAGATAATATAATATGAGGTCATACAGAATAAATGTTATTTTCTTTCCATGTAGCATCTTCATTACAGAAGAGTGAGAAGTAACTTACATTATAGGGATCACTAGCTACTGCTTACTAGTCATCTTTCACTGACTGCACTGATGGGCAACCAATGCTCTTACACTTAAGTAATACAAAACTGTAAGTCATTCTCATGAATGTAACATTCTCAATGTCACCAAAAGCTCCCACCCATCTTCTGGCAGTTGTTCTGCCATTCATCTCCATGCTGAGCATCTTTAAAATTTCTCTGCATGTATCTGACAGTCTGGGAATTGGGGAGGGTCTGGTTACCATCCCTTTCACTGGGGGCCGCAAAGTGTTGCATAATCTGGCCCCTGACTACTTCTCCAACTTCACCCCTTACTCACTCTGCTCAGTTGACCCTTTTGTGGTTTTTTTTTTTAATTTATTTATGATAGTCACAGAGAAAGAGAGAGAGGCAGAGACATAGTCAGAGGGAGAAGCGGGCTCCATGCACTGGGAGCCCGACGTGGGATTCGATCCTGGGTCTCCAGGATCGCGCCCTGGGCCAAAGGCAGGCGCCAAACCGCTGCGCCACCCAGGGATCCCCCTTTTGTGGTTTTTTTTCTTTTTTTTTTTTTTTGTCCTCAAACATGCCAAGTTCTTTCCCACCTCAAAGCCTTTATGTTCCCTCCCCAGCTTTCAGCTCAAAGATCATTTCTACAAAGAGGCCTTCTGTGTCATCCCATTAAAAGTAATCTCCTCCACCTTCAGTCCAGGAACCAACATTTCACTCTGTTTATCTCCGTCTCAGGACCTAACATAGTCTTTGATTTCCTATGTCATTAGTCTAAAGCTCGCTTCCCTCCACAAGGTTTCAGGGACCTTGTCAATCTTGTCCACTGTTGGGGATCCCTGGGTGGCTCAGCGGTTTGGTGCCTGCCTTTGGCCCAGGGCCTGATCCTGGAGTTCTGGGATCGAGTCCCACATCAGGCTCCCTGCGTGGAGCCTGCTTCTCCCTCTGCCTGTGTCTCTTCCTCTCTCTCTATCTCTCTGTGTCTCTCATGATTAAATAAAATCTTAAAAAAAATCTTGTCCACTGTTAAAGACCCCAGCTCCCATGGTAGTGCCTTGCACACATGGCAAACACTCAATACATATTTGTTGGATAAGTGCTAATATCTGCCCTGCCACAAAATTCTGCTGCCCTAAGTGTCCATGCCCTACACTATGTGACTGTTTTGCCATTGCTGTTTAGATGAGGTAGGCGTGAAGGGGCTGTCTCAGATTCGTCATGACCTAGGGTTTATAGGGGTTGACCTAAAAAGATCAGCAGGACCAATCCAATTCCTCTCTCAGGAACTGGGGAACTGAGAGACTCAGCCACTAAACCAAGGGAACTAAAATCAAAATCTGTCACTTGGAACCATTGAGATCCAAGTTGGTAGAAGGAAAACTCAGCAGATGAGTGA